TGATTTTGCCCTTCTCCGATAACTTCTTTTCTACAGACCCTGGAGTATTTTCTACATTACAACCACAGCAATGATATACAAATGTACTAGACTAAATATTTTCTATGCAAGAAGGTATAAATTGAAATTTAGGAGGGAGGACACCATTACTGTCCTTTCAAAGAGTTTGCCTCAGGTGTGCAGTTCCAACTTCACGTTGAGGTGCCAATTACCCCCAATTTACATAATGTGCACTGGCTTGGGTTGGCTTGAGACCTTTGTTTTTGTTCAGAGAACTGTGGTGACTGGAAATGAAGTACTACAATGTAGCTCCAAGCAGATCCTAAGGTGGCAAAAAGAAATATGAAAAATTGGCCAGGCAGTATCCATCGGCCAGAGAGGGTCCAATTTTCTTTGGGTTGGAGATAAGAAAGAAAGGACAGTATCCTGACCAAGAAGATCGATCAATCAATCAATCAATAAACATTATTATAAGAAGGTTTATTGCAAGTCAGATATCCAGCTGTTATTAGATATATAATATTGTGCCCGGTCAGTTTCAACCTGTCGACTCACCCAGAAAACGTAACAAACTTTGTAGTGGGTTGATTTTGATTTTAGCAAATTTTCAGGGAAGAAGAAGGAATTTCAGTGGCAAAGCAATCAGAATCCCATAGACTTTTGAGACAGTAGGGACAGAGGGTTCAAAAAGTGGGGGGAAAATGTTACTAGTAGCTTATTTAAGTCACTATATTGGCCCACTACATGCTCAACAGTTGTGCTGGGTAGATAGACCTCTCTATCTGATGTGCCTGGTAAATGCAGCTACTTGTACATACCAGGATGCGTTATTAGGAAGTATCCAATGCATGAAATTTATACACAACTAGTACTGGTTTCCAAAACATGGCTCATGCTAATAATTCAAAATCTTTAAAAAGTGGCTAGAATATTCCTTTAGTTAGTATCTAGCCAACATGGTTAAAAGTTCTTTGCAAGTTATTCGCACTATTCACATGACATTAATCAAAATGCAAACAAATGGAAAAATCTGGAATTTGTTCATATTCAGACTCTTTGTCCGTTAATGTTCAGGGGCAATTCTTGTGTTGGCGGGGCATTGTTTTTGAGTGTGAAGTTGAAATATGAAATATTGGAAAAGTTGTTCCAGATTATTTCCAGTTTTGGCAACAAAATACTAAGACTAAGTATAAATATAAATATGAGCCTAAAGACTAAGTAGATAAGCAAGAAGCCTAATATTCACAACTTGAGCCTGCTTTCAAAGCAAGGAATTATACAATCCTCTATTTCCTGTCCAACAGTGCCCATTCGGTAATTATTCAGCTCCAGGTACAATTGTTATGCGGGATAAAACTAGGTCAGCTATTGTTCTTGACATGCAAATGTCACTGTCCAATTATCAACTTGATACAAATTATCCTATAAGGGAGTATTGGGTTACATGCCAAGTTACTGGTAGTATCTCGGCAGCTTGTACTGGGTCACCCAGGAAAAGGCAGAAAAGATAGCCCATGTGAAAACTAAAGAACATTGTAATTGTTAAAGACATTACCAACACAATTGACTATTTGGCCCTTCACCCAGTCAGATTTTCTGCCATCTGGCACCTAACATTGCACTTGGCCATGGGTTTATAGATACATGTAGTAGTATGTGTATTTTTGTTTGCTGCATTGACTGTTAGCACCTATGAAGTATAAAAAAATAATAGCAATGGTTTCTTAACAGATTTTATTATGATGCATACTTTTCAAAGTATTAACTAAGTAAGTAAGTGCAAGCAAAATTTGTCTTCTTTGTCTGGTCCAGGTAATGTTTACTGCACCAGTGCAGGTATGCAGTGAAAAATATTTTGAGCCCTGGGGTATTCTGCGAATGATAGATGAGTTTATCCATGGAGTTTGAAGTTGTTATCAAAGTTTATTAAATTTTTAGCCATATCCAAACTCTATTCTTAGTCTTAGCCAGGTTAGAGGTTATAACCTTCTTGCTAGAATTCATCCTACAGTGAGCTAGGTATTGTTGGACAAAGACTAGATTTTTAACCTCCTTGTTAGGACCTACAGGATTGTACACGTCATGTACATATATATGGCACTCATGTGGAGCAAGTTGACTGGTCAATCATATCCATTCCTGCCATGTCAAATCTCCATGACTCATTTGTATCTTTGAAGACAATGTTCTTTCATATTCCTGGAAAATACAGTCTAGAAAAACTGCAGGAATACACACAGAACTACAATAATGAAGTGATATAATAAACTGTGTATAAACCGCCATGAACCTAGAAGCAAGTTTAATGTTCATCTTTTAAACTCCATTGGGAAATTACTTTCAGTCTGGTCTGAAGGCTTAGGCCATTAGCCCAGCCTGTTCATTCTGACACACCAAGGATGTGTGTATAATGTCCTTGGACACACCGACGGGGCTGTTTAACACACCGACAGGGCTGTTCAACCCTGTCGGGGTAACCTTTGAGCCCAGACTTCTCATGAATTATCACACAAACTTGCTAATTACACAGGTGTGAAGATGTGAATTCTCATTAATTCAGTGGTTTTCATGGAGTGTTCAATGACATGAGGATAATTGTATGCGGTCTGGGTGCGGGGTGGGTTTCCACCCCGACGGGGTAGACTTTACTACCGACCGGGGTGGGCTTCTGATCCCGTCGGTGTGGCTTGTACACCGACGGGATTGCAATTTTTAAAGTGAAATATCTTGACAAATATGTATGTTTTGACCATAAAAAAATAACCTGGTACTGAGGATAACATGATCTTTCAAATGGTATGTAAAAATTTACTGTACCTGCAGAAATGGCAAAGTTGAAAATCAGGGATTTCAACATGGCCGTCTGCAAATTCGGAAAGTGACATTCCAAAATTGAAGTGACCAGTGTTAATTGTACTTTTCTTCCTCAGGCTAGGTTCCCCACTAAGCAACCTAACCAAAAGCAAAAACCAAAAGCTAACCAAAAGTTGCCTATCAATATTTCAGGTTTGTGTCAACACTGGCTGTCTAGTTTAGAAGTCAAGCAGTAAGCTTTAAATAAGTCCACTTGTAAAGGTAATGCTCACATGCTGGTGGAGGTGGGACACAGTTTATTTCAGAAGCTAACTGTTGTGCCAGTCAACCTGGCATCTCTCAACAAGTCTCACTGACGGAAACCATGACTTGTGCAGTGAGAGTGTGAGAGTGGGTATTTTAAACCCTGTATACAAACAGTACCTCTTCAAAAAGCTGGTCTCCATCCTCTGTAGGTCGTGCTAAGTTTTCCACAGCGTAGCGTTGGAAGTCTTCCTGCATCATTCTGTCAATCACACGCTCCAGCTCACACAGCTGCAAACCCAGGTGTCTGCTCCAAAATAGCAAAATTACAATGTCTTCATCTGACAAATTTGCATAATTCCTATGCCACAATCTTTCATAATGATTATATTTCATTCCATACCATACAACAAGGGTTTTCACAATGCCTTTTACTGAAAATCACTGTACGAGGGTTTTGAGAAATGTTTTACTGAAAAGAACTGTATGGGGGTTTGGAGAACAATTTGTAACTAAGAAGAACTGTATGGGGTATTGGGCACTACATGTACAATTCATTGGGAGTATAATTGAAAGTTTCAATTACCATGCACTAGTTACCATGGTGACAGATGGCTGGTCCAGGTCATTGACTTCATTTGTTTGGTGAAGAAGAAGAAGAAACATAACAAAAACAGTACAATTTAATTTCTTGGTTAACGGATTTTTCTAGAAAAATAAAGGAGCGGGCGGGTGAAAAAAATAAATAAATAAATACAGGCCTAGGCATCCTATTATGGCCCAAAATGGTACGATAGGAGCCATGAAGTCAACACACCAGGCTGGTTCAAAATTTAAACAATGAATTTTGAACTTTTAAAATAAATGATAACATTGCATTGAAAGATGGAATAACTACAACAACTAGGATGAAAAGGACTGTTTCCAACTGTTCAGGGCAAAATATGAGCATTTTGCAGTTGATTCTGAATTTTTATTTTTATTTGCAAATCAGAAAAAAATGAAGCGGGCAAATCCGTTAACCAAGAAATTAAATTGGTGTGGCCTAAGGAACAACATTTTTTATGACTGACCTAAAACTCTGAATCCCGGCCAAGTCCTTGGCCAGTACTTGCTGAGTTATGGAGATGAGATCCAGAGCAGCTACAAAGTCACTGGTGGACAGTAGGACCTGGACCATAGGCTGGGTCTGGTGAACTGTAGCCATCATCTTCATCTACCGTCAAACATTTTAAACACAGCCGAAAATAGTCTCATCAGGTTGGTTAAGTATAGGATAGGATATAGGAGTTTTCTCTTACACAACCAATTCTCTCACCTCAAGTACTGACGTTTTGGTGTCTATCAGACACCTTCCTCAGAGCTTACATTGTATAGCAGCGAGAAGCAGAACTCCAGTCAGAAGCTCTGAGGAAGGTGCCTGATAGGCATCGTCACGTCAGCATTTTAGGTGAGAGAATTGGTAATGTGTAAAAGAAAACTCCAGGACCTATATCATATTAAACAGAAATTATACATCAAGACACACAACAGTAAAGGGCTCGCAATACTTTTTCCATAGACATAAGAATGCCATTTCTTTAGCTTATACTTCATAGGTGATGACAGTCAATACAGTCACCTACATTTATGTGTGAGCCCAATACATGGACTGGTGCAGGTGGACATCAGAAATAACTGGCAGTCTACAGCCTACATTTTACCTGCACCAAGGTACACACTTTGTACCCTGTACAATTGTTGTGCAATAAAGTTTAATATAATTTATGCATCCAGTATTTATTAAGTTGTGATATTGTGTGGCAATGCTGGACCACCAAAAAACACACAGCCAAGCCAAATATGATAATTTAAATTAAAATCTAATAAATCACAGCTTACCATGTGGTACAGTTTTGTGTAGTTTTGCCTGCTTTTGGAGAGTTGTAGGAGCTGTAAGGATCCCTTAGCCAGCACAGAGTCTATGTTATGGATCCTGTCCCTGGAAGGTGAAACAATAACATACATGTACAGTTGTGTTTATGTTCAACAATTCTACATGCATGTGCTAAATTCATATTCAACTAGTAAAATATTATTATTAAGTATCTTCCTAATATATAATGTTATGTACAATAAAGTAGCTTTTTTAAAATTTCTTTGCAACTTAAATAATGCTCCCAACACACATACATGTACACACACACACACACACACACACACACACACACACACACACACACACACACACACACACACACACACACACACACACACACACACACACACACACACACACACACACACACACACACACACACACACACACAACACACACACACACAACCACACACACACACAACCACACACACACACACACAGAGACAGACATGAATGCCTCTGAAAACACAACCTTCTTGGCAAAGAGTGTAGCGTCTAGTGCTGTGTACCGGTTTACCGGACAGGTTCCGGACTTGTAAAAATGTTAGGTTTAAGTCCAAAACGTCAAGAACCAATTCCAGACAAAAAAAAACATGTCACATACAGTACCGTTCGCGTTATAGTTAACCGGGTACCCCGTTACTAACGAGTTATTTTTTCGTCAGAAAATGGTTAGAAAATCGTCAGTATTTGGTTAGATTTTCGTCAGAAAATGGTTAGAAAATCGTCAGAAATTATTTCTAACGCGTTACCGTTTGCGTTAATGTGATAGGGTCGGATTTCATGTTTGTTTTGCGCGCCGACAAGACAATAGCAATTTGCCACCTCCTGGGGCGTCCGCTAATGTGTTGCGATGTTGCCCCTTGAAAAATAACAGCACCAGAGGCAAGTGGACATGTGATTCGTAAAATAACTTTGTGGTTTATCCATGTGTCGACTGGGTGAAGCGAATTGTGCTATCTTTTAATGCTATTCTATAGTTATTTTTAGCAGAAAATTACGTTGTGTAATACAATGTATGTCAACAAAGTGTAGCAGTGGGCAGACGATGTCTTGTACATTTTGTACCAGCGGCGGCCTACCGCTCTCACAGGACGTCATGGGACGTGACGAAACAAGAAATATCTGCCGTAGAAGAAATATAAATCGGTAACTCATGCCTTAAATTCACGGCGGTTTTTGACACAAAAGAAAAATTATTATAATTTTTGTAAGGCGCGCGGCTTACTAGTACTAGCGGCTTTAATACTCACGGTAAAATGTACCGTCACTCCCGGCGCAAGGACTCGGTTCGCCAGCTGAGGATTTTCCACAACCATGATGATATCATAGTTAATAAAGGAATATATAATAGATCTATCATGTTGAAATGATAATTGTAATACATGGTTCTATTTAATAGCGGTAGTTTTGTTTCTTATTTTGAGGGGGGAAACTGTCAAAAATCGAGGGAACGCAAACTGAGATCGGCTCATTTCCGGGTGCATAACGCCAAAATTTCTCGACGATTATATAAAAATGACCCACTCATTTGCCGCCTACGGTAGCGTGTACATGGTAGTGCGATCATATCGTGCCAAAGTCAGCGTCAAACGTCAGAAAATCCCCGTAAAAATATAGTTGCAAAACACATTTCCCGCGCACTCAGGGCCGGTCGCCCTGGCCGCTGCCGCCCTGTGTGCAGCATGCTCATTATAATATGCAAGTAGCTACGCTCTGATTGGTTCACCTTAGATGACCTGCGCTGTGATTGGCTAGAACGAAGCCCGTTGCATGCTGGGGCGCCAGTCCCCGCGCGAAGTGCGATCTGGAGATAGCCACATTTACGCTGGTTTCTACCTTATTTCTACGACTAATTAGCAACATCCTAGTGACGAAATGCGTACTCAAAAGAATTTTCGGGGAAAAAAATATATGTACATGTGGATTTGTGGTGCCTTTGGCGTAATTTTGTTGGTCACATACAACGTAATGTAACACGGAAGTGCATGGAGTCGGAGTGGCGGCACGGCTTTCCGTCCCACTCTAAACAAAACTCCAAGGACATAACAAAACTCCCCAAAACTGGTCAATAATTAGCCATAAAAATGTTGGTGGGCACGTGTAAATATGCTGCCTTTTTTCGAGTGTTATAGGAATTTTCCGCGATGTTTTTGCACATCCCTAACGTTACCTCACGCCCGCCGCCTATTATGTACGGCGGACCGGGGCATTTATAACTTCAGATCATCTAGGTTTGCTTATTCGGTAGGTAAAATAAGTTAACAGAGAAAAACAGACAAAACAAAGTTGACAAACTATAGAAACGCTTGCCTGGGCAACAGTGACAAAAGAAAATGTCTATCTAATTGAATTGCGCCGGTGATCGTAAAACGTTTTAAACGTTACAATATAGTAAAATGCAGGCTAGATCAACGTTCCTTCCGCTGTTCCAGCGGTGTGTATCGGTAATTTCCCGCCTCGCATGAGGTAAATTAGTACTCCTCCCATTATTCTGTGATGTTACCGCGGCCTGCATATGAATGCAGAAGTCTAACGGAAAAGTAACGGAAAAGTAACGGAAAACTTACGCAAAAGTTACGGAAAACTTACGGAAAAGTAACGGAAAAGTAACGGAAAAGAAACGCGTTAGTAACGGCCGTTAGGGTAACTATAACGCGAACGGTACTGTACCCTTTTTCTTTCCAAACCATCTAAAACTTCCAACAGATTGCAAAATCTGTGCTGCAAAATGAAGAAAATTAAACATTGCCATTGGGCATCTCCAGTGTTGGCCTCTATATGTTTGTTGCTACAGTTTTGCCCAGACAAAATTATATTGCAAGGTTGCCAACATGCAATTTTGTATAATGCAATGGGTTAAGGTCCAGAACTTGACCTAAACCTCTGGACTTGAATCCGGACTAAATGTGAGTTTAGGTACACAGCACTGGTAGCATCTAACCTGAGCTGTTTGATAGCAGACAGACAGTGGCTCATGTTGTCCTGCAGCTCATCATGTGAAGCCATGGCGCTGAAGAAAGCCTCCGAGCGATACGAGATCTGCCGCGCGATCTGAACCTCCACAATGTCCAGGTAGTGACTCAACTGGGAGAAAACACAACAACAGTACAATCTTCATTTTCAAAAATTATAAATTAGTTTTTAATCAATTTTCTAAAAGATGCTCTTTATTTTATGTGTCATAAGTTCAGTCCAAGCAGTGGAAAGGAACTGATATGAACTTCAGTGTTCGAAATACCTGCCTGCAGTCTGCAATCTGCAGATAGATTTTCAAGATTGCAGAAGAAAAAATTATACAATCTGCAATTTTGCAGAAGGAAAAATAGGCTCCAGATTCATTAGTTTTCAATTTAGCAAACTAAAACTCCCAGGCCCCAGGGACAGACTGTTCTGAAACAACAGGAGCTTCTTCACTAATTTGCATCATCCTTGTCTTGACTTGTCTAACTTTTGTTTCCTTTTGGACTACCAAAAAATTGTCTTCACTAATTTGCATATCAATCCATAGTTTATGCTTATAAACCTGAAATTCTCCTGCAGTCCAGTAATGCTACTGTACAGATTTACAAAGCTATATATGATGTAAAAAAGGAATTATTGGTTTAAGAAGGTTGTAATATGGAGGCTTGTGTATTTGCAGAAAGGTTGTAATATGGAGGCTCGTGTATTTGCAGAAAGTGTTTCCAAATTGCAGAACAAAATTTTGACTCTTCTGCAATATTGCAGAGTACTGAAAAAAAGTATTTCGACCACTGAACTTTGTTGATTTTTTTTTTTTCAAAGAAAATGTTAACCAAAGTATTGATAATTTTATCAATCTTGTATAAAAGGCTTTTTGACCTCCATTTCGATGATTAAGAAAAAGTGTTCCAAAAAGACCTTTTCTACTCAAAGCTTTAGTTTTCTTTTTTAGATTATGATTGTTATGTTTTAGGTGGTCTAAAAATGAGTTAATAGATTTTTGAAGGTTTTAAAGATTTCTTACTTGTCACTAGTTGTCAGATTTGTGTCAATATTCATAATTGAAAGCATTTTGTATGTTTAGGGCACCCAAAGCGATTTCAGGGCCGTAAAACAGGATTTTTATGCAGAACTTCATTCTTTTAATGCATCCCATATAACTGATATCTGTAAGGCACAAATGTGATGTCATTCAAGGAAAACGGTTGCTTGTTTCGTATCGAAGGTTCATTATATGGTAGAGCCAAAAATGTCTATAAAACATCTAACGGACATTTAACATTCTCGAAAGTTCCGCACATCTTTTACACATTTGTAAGAATGTCTTCCCCAGGTCTTTACAGGGTCTTTTTGGGGAGGACCTGCTTGTTGTGTTTTCCATTGTTCATGAGGTGTTTGTCAGAATGTCTTTAGCAAAAAAGTGTGAAAACTGGGATGCATATGAAAAGCACTGCACAAAGCCAATTTATAGGGCAGGACACAATTAATTAACGGACAGATGCTAATATCTTTATAAGTACGCATTGTGCTAAACAAAGGACTGTCTCCTAGGGGTGTCCCTACCTGACGTGTGAAGAGAATATGGATATAAAATGTCCACCTTGGGTTATTTCGATGTCATTTTTCAGTAACTATGTCTACTTAATGTTCTCCCGACTGGCTTTTGTTCAGCAATGTCTAAATCATATCTAATGTCCGCTAGACATTTTATAGACATTTTTGGCTCTACCAATATATCATTCTAAGGTTGGTACCAAAAGATAAAGGGGTTTCATGTAGTTTATTTTGGGGCTATTTAAAAGGCTTCAAGTATATGAATTGATGACAAAAATGAGATAAGAAATGGCAGTATCTTAGACAGATTTCCTCATCAACATTGTTAGGCCACAGCAAGTAAATTTTATGGATGACATCCTCCGCAGACTCTAATTTAGTCTAAATCTAATGCGAGCGGGCGGAAAAAAAAAACAAGGCGGGACAAAAAAACAAGGTTCCTACATTTTAAAATTTTGACTCAATCATTGTACAAATGGTTTTTATTCAGTGGGAACATCACATATACACAGCCAGCATCACATATCACTGCATCAAAGTAAGAAACAAAACATTAAATCAGAGCCTTTTCTTGTCTCCTCTCTTTATAGTTATCTGCCATCCACCTTCCGGCATAGCAGCAGACATCTTTGCCCATTTTCGGCATGTTGATCACTGTCAGAAGGCAACAAAATGTCTTGTTTTCTTTCCAAAATCAGGCGAAAATTAATGCACGCTCTGATGTCATCCATAAAAATTACTTGCTCTGGCCTTACAAAATTCTGTTTTGCTGCCCTGGCATTGCATTGGATGCCTTTAAATGCTCCCATGTACATATGAGCCTACATACAGCCTGTCAAGAGAACCTATGTCCAGTGAAAACTGCTGATATTTTTCCTTACCTCTGCTTCCCTCCCTTTCATCTTGGCAAGATGGTGACAAAGGTTACAAGGTTCATAAAAACATAACAAACAATACAAACTCGTAAAATAAAAAAGCGATTATAAAATGTGTCACAAAATGAAAGATGCATGCAGTCATCACTTGGATGACAAAGACAAATACAATAATTTTTAAAGGGGCATTATGTAAAATTTTTGCAACAAAAATTTCATGAAATACAAAAACTAATTGAAAAGATATTTATTTGATTGTAATTTAGTTGCACTCTTTGGCATATTTGTGCAATTATCTCACAACTCTGACATTTATGGTTGGTGCTAAAGCAGCCTTCGCAAGGGGCACTCAGTTTATGGTGCCACCACAAACTACCAGAATGTAAACAAACATGGCTGACAGCTGTGTTTCAAAGTTTTAAACACACTCGGCAAGACGTCATATTTTGACACAGCCACTTCTTGAATGACACTTATTTGTATAATGTAGAGTTGACTAAAATATACTTTGTAAAGAAATGACCAGAAAATCAACTTTTTTTATCACCCTAAGGCCACACCAATTTAATTTCTTGGTTAACAGATTTTTCTAGAAAAATAATGGAGCGGGCAGGCGAAAAAAAATAAAAATAAAAACAGGTCTAGGCATCCTATTATGGCCCAAAATGGTAAGATAGGAGCCATGAAGTCAACACACCATCAAAATTTGAACAATGAATTTTGAACTTTTAATGATACCATCATGATGATTGCATTGAAAGATGGAATAACTGTAACAACTAGGATGAAAAGGACTGTTTTCAACTGTTCAGGGCAAAGTATGAGCATTTTGCAGTTGATTCTGAATTTTTATTTTTATTTACAAATCAGAAAATAATGTAGCGGGCGAATCCGTTAGCCAAGAAATCAAATTGCTGTGGCTTAATGTTACATAATGCAGCTTTAACAAAAAAAGTGGTATTTTCTCAAAACATTGCTATTGGAAGTACTAATTGTGCAATGCAGGAACAAAAAATTGAACAATGAAAAAAAAATCATTGAAGACAGTCCGAATGTCAACCTTTAACGTTAGCTTGGGTGAAGCTAGGAGTCGTACAACAGGGAACTCTGGTGTGTGCTGGTTAGTGTGAGCGTGTGCAGGCGAGATATGTGAGCGTGTGGTCTGCAAAACACAGGACATAAGAAGCAACATATGCAAAAAACAATACCAGGGCTCAAAATACTAGGTGCATGTGCACCTTAGTGCACCCAAAATTGGAGCTGTGCACCCAATTATTTTCTGTGGGTGCACTGGTGCACCCAAATATTTTTGTAGGTACATGTATTTTTGTACATATTAAATGTATGATAGTATACAGGATATTCTTGGCATCTAAGTGTCAGAAAAACAATAAAATCTTTGTTGTAGTATTTGTTTTAGATTTTAAAGTTATCTCCCATTTCAGATGTTTTGTTTTGTATGGTGCACCCAAAAATTTTTTTGTGCACCCAATTCAAAGCAGCTAATTTTTTAGGTTGGGTGCACCAGTGCACCTATTCCTAAAAAATGAATTTCGAGCCCTGAACACCGATGTAAGAAAATGTAAGCAGCTTTCTTTGTGTGTGATGCTGTCAAATTGTAATCTAAAGCCCATCCAGAAATATTTTAAACAACAGGGCTCAAAATCCTTTTTTTCAATAATAAAAGACAAAGAATTGCTAGCAAAGATGACAGAATGACAATGCAAGTGTGCAAAAGAAAATGATGCCATACGACGTAAAATCATTCTTTAGGACACACCAATTTAATTTGTTGGTTCTTGGATTTTTTTCAGGAAAACTATGAAGTAACAGGGCAAAAAAAACAGGATGTGGCAATGCCATCCTGAGATAAAAACAAAATATGCTACGACAGGAGCCATTACATCAACTGAATGGGCTTGATAATTAAAACAATTTTGAACTTTTAATCAAACTAATGCATTGATAGATGGAACAACAGTACTAATAAATAAATAAGAAGACTAGGACTTTTTTTCTTTTTTCAACTGATGAGGCCAAAGTTTGGAGCTGATTGAGAAACTGATTTTTTTTTTGCAAATCAGAAAAAAATCCAAGAAACAATTTTATTATTAAATTGGTGTAGCCTTATAGATGAGTTTAACTGTACATATATTAATTGTAAATTGTTGTAGGGAAGAATCAATAATATTACAATATTGTGTAGGAGTGTTGCATTTGTTCTAAATATACTTTGTAGGAAAACATTATATAAAAAAAGGTTAATAATACCTTTTCCTGTAGAAGCTTGGAGGACTGTCTACCCTGTTCCTTGTCTTTGGGTGATTCAAACTGCGACCAAGGCAAGACTGTGTTGAACGTTTCTGGGTTTTCCAGCGCAAAATTGGTCTGCATAAATATCTGGAAGGACAGAAAAAAAAATAAAACTAGCAAAGCAAATGCATAATAATTTTTATATTATTTACATAGTCTAGAACTACTGCTCTCACTGTTTATTCTTACTCAAACAATTATCATAGTGAACAGCCTCTCCAACACTGTCCTGCAACTTGCTACATAATATATGGTGTCTGCTACAGCACCAGTTATCATGGTGACAGACATCTGGTCCAGGCCCAGGCCCAGAGGGATTGACCTTTTGTGTTGGAGAAGAAGAAAAAAAACAGAACAAAAGCAATGTTTTCTGTCTGCAAAAGTAAAAATACATGTAGCATTCAACACTTCTGCTATGAGTTAAATATGCTATTGAGGCCTTCAATAAAATCATTAATTTTATATCAATTTTTAATAAACCCAAAGCCTGTCCTGGTAGTTAATTATACTGACTTGCTTAGTATCTTGATTAGCGATAAAAATTGTTTGTTGTTTACAAGGCAATTAATAAAAAAAAGTACTGAATCATACCTTTGGAACCTGCTCCAAATCAGCTTTTCCTTTGTCTGAATAGGACAAAAGAAGGAAAGAGTTAAAGAAAATTGTATTTAATTAGATTGGAACAATACTAGTAGACATTTTCCCACATATTCATTTGTTGGCTAGTGTGAAAGATCAGAAATTTGCACTTTGTATTTCCCTTTTTAGTACTCTAACAGTTACTGCACAACAGTTCAATAAGTGGTTAGGCCACATCAATTTAATTTGTCGTTTCTCAGATTTTTTCAGAAGAAATATATGAAGCGACAGGGCGAAATAGAAAAAAAAAACAGGCCAAGGCACCCCATGATAGCCGGAAATGTTACAATATGAGCCATGAAGTGAACATACCAGGCTGGTTTACATGTATAATTAAAACAATAGATTTTGAACTTTTAATAAAACAAAATTGCATTGTTACATTGGAAAACTTTAACAACTAGGAAGGAAAGGACTTTCTTCAACCGTTGGGGCCAAAATATGTCTTTCATTGAGCATTTTGCAGTTGATTTAGAACCCCCCATTTTTTTTTTTTTTGGCAAATCAGAAAAAAAAGGACAGGGCGAATCTGAGAAACAACAAATTAAATTGGTGTGGCCTAATGGGAATTATGACACAATACTCCCCCATATACACGTCATGTACAGTAAGGTCATTAACCCTTAATTCTCTAGACAATTCAATATTCATATTAAAGCACAAGCTGTTGCCTCTTTCTTATTATGCTGGTAAGCAGGCAAACATGTACCTAGTAGTATGTACATTCTAAATTTACACAGCATTGTAACAGCTGTTTCTGAGACAGAAGTACAGTCAAACTTTCTAAGACGACCCCCCAAGGGACTAAGAAAAAGTGGTTTTCTTACACAAGTGGTCTTCTTGATATACAAAATGTTGTTTGTTTATTTGTTTAGGATCTGCATTAGTGTGAATTTCACACTACTCTTCCTAGAGTCTGTAGTGAATCATCAGATAAGTACTTAGACCATCGCACACCGGGGCATGCCCCTACTCTTTTTCGAAAGGTGCGGTGGGTTCTTTTACGTGCTCGAGGTGTAGCTCTCGCCATACACGGGACCTACATTTAACGTCCTATCGAGGGATGTCCTTAACCGAAGCTACGTAGGTACTCATTTTCACCTGAGTGAAGTGAGGAAAGTCATGTAAAGTGCCTTTCCCAAGGGCACAAGATCAGTGAAAAGGCCACACCAATTTAATTTCTTGGTTAACGGATTTTTCTAGAAAAATAATGGAGCGGGCGGGCGAAAAAATAAAAACAGGCCTAGGCATCCTATTATGGCCCAAAATGGAACGATAGGAGCCATGAAGTCAACACACCAGGCTGGTTCAAAATTTAAACAATGAATTTTGAACTTTTAATAATACATGTACCACTGCATTGAAAGATGGAATACCTGTAACAACTAGGAAGAAAGGACGGTTTTCAACTGTTCAGGGCAAAATATGAGCATTTTGCAGTTGATTCTGAATTTTTTTTTTTTTTGCAAATCAGAAAAAAATGAAGCGGGCGAATCCGTTAACCAAGAAATTAAATTGGTGTGGCCCAAGGTAGGATTCGAACCTGGAACCTCTTGGTCCAAGGCCGAACACGCTACCGCTACGCCACGCCACACCGAGTTGTATTCTATATATTTGTATATTGGTACAACAGTTGCATGGTTTTAAACTGCTTACCTAGGAGCCTGGGTAACGGTGTCAGGGTCTGACCACTCTGAGCTGATGGGGGGGAGCTGGTCGGCAGTTTGTGTTTGTTTTGTTGGTGCACGGCATATCTCTAAGGTAAACAAACAAACAAACAAACATGTAGACAAGTTAAACATACACTTCTAATGCAGAATTGTGGTCATTTGTATAGGATTGACCCTAAAAACTATAAAAGTACATACAAAATCATATCTAGCGGCTTGAGTAACTGTTTTTTGGCATATCTTATTACCTGGATGTCTAACCTTCATCAACGTAGTAGTACAGATTGAATATGATTGATGAAATTTCATGGAATATGTTAAACTTACAGGCATCCAATGCAATTTTAGGGTGTAAAAGCTGGATCTTTAAAGTCAATTCTTTATAATTAATATAGTACTGGTATGTTGAATTAACCCTATCTCATAGCATGCTGTTTTCTGTGAGCCAAAATATAGTGATTTCGCTAAGAAAAAAAATCAGTTTCTTGTTTTGTATCGTAGGCTGGTTCTAGCTATTTTATGGGCGGTAGCCAAAAATAAAGAGACACCTCACGTAGCTTGTTTTGGGGCTAACAAACGCTTCAAGCATCAAATGTGCTAAGAAATGACAGTAAATGTCAGACAGTAAATGTCAATATCAGACAAATTTTCTCATCCACAATATTTTTCGTTTTGCCGCCCTTAAATTACATTGGATGCCTTTAACATCATCATTGGGCCACACCAATTTAATTTGTTGGTTTTCAGATTCGCCTCTTCATTTTTTCTGATTTGCAAAAAAAAAAGGTTCTGTTTCGGAATCAAGTAAACAATACTCAATTTGCCCCCAACAGTTGAGGAAAGTCATTTTCTTCCTAGTTGAATACTGTTGATACACCTTTTCCATCTATCAATGCAGTGCTTTGATTAAAAGTTCAACATTCCTTGTTTAAATTTTAACCCAGCCTTTTGTGTTGACCTCGTGGCTCCAATCTGGGGGCTATAATAGGATGTCTAGACCTGTTTTTTTTCGCCCCGTTGCTTCATATTTTTTCTGAATAAATCCGAGAACCAACAAATTAAATTGGTGTGGCCTTACATAATGATTAAAGCACATAATACTCACATGTGTGACACTCTTTAGGTAGTGTTCAAAATGAGCCTTGGTGATGTTAGGAAGGTAGAAGGAAGGGGGGATGTCTTCAGGTCCTATCTCTATGAAGTCCTCTCCCCAGGTCTTGGTGAAGAAGTCGTGCTCTCTCCTGCTTCTTCTGGGGTCATTCAGAACAGACGCCAGGTTGACCTGCAGTGGAAAAAATTACTTTTTATGTTTACTGAAGTTTTGCTATGTTTCCTCTTCTTCTTCCATTCCAAACACTGACCAGACTGACCTGACCAATGACCTTATTTATTGATGTCTCTCGCCACAGCAACTGGTGTTGGGTTGCATATTGTTGCAATTTTACAGCAGGAGGGATTTATACCCCTGACTAACCATGTATATGAATGTGTTTGAGTAAGAATTGGTGACCTGAGAAGAAGAAGTAAGAATAAAAGTGTAGACCATATGCGAAGGTAAACATTATGCACTTGCTTTGCAAATGTTGCCTTCCTAGTTTTAAAATGTTCTGCAATATTTAAATGATAACTGTTTCTTCTTTATGAAACTAGACAAACCATATATTACAAGTTTGGTATGTTCATATATTTTCAACTGCCTTACAAAGTGAGAAAGTTGAACTTGTACTTCACATTTCTGCTTTATTCTTGTTCCTGTACATTATTGTACTTCCCTTGAAAGGGCATTCATTCAATTTTTGGTTAAAAATAATGTTTGTTCATTCATTTGTTCATTCATTTGTTTGTTTCTTTGTTTGTTCGTTCATTCATTCAATATTGAAGGATGTTAAAATTTAGTTTTGCAAATAATACTGTAAATGCACACTTGTTATATTTCATTCATTCATATATGATATAGGTATGAATTTGAACATAAGCCCATTGGCATATACAAAATTACCCGTTGGCAAACAGTTTACATACAATTTGAAAAATACATGCAAAATAATTAGTGTATCATTGAGTTGGTAGTACTTAATTGAAGATGCAACAAAGCATGACACAAAGCAACAAAAGCAAAGTAGTAGTAAATACAAAAGCTCTAAACAATATTATGCCAACATTATTGAACCCCAAGCCTGCTTTTTTTCAGTATCCAAAATTGCAGGTTGCTCAATTTTTCTCCTGAAATCATAATTGAAAATGTCTCAGCAAAATGCAGACAGCAAGTGGGTATTTGTAACCAGGCCTCAAAATACTGGGAGCATATGCAGGTTGGTACAGATAGAATAATCTGTTCAGGTATAATGCCGTAGTGATGCATACCGGTTCACTAGACTTGGATCCCGACTTGTAAGAATGTTTAGGTTCACTTCAAGTCCAAAAAAACCTAAAAGTCAAGAACCAAGTCCGGACTTATTACCATAAAAGACCATTTCACATACGCTTTTCTTTCCAAACCACCTAAAACTTTCGTAGATTGCAAAATCTTTGCTGCAAAATGAAGAAAACATTGCCATCGGGCATCGTCAAGTGTCGGCCTCCATGTTATGTGGCCAAAGTTTCACCCAGACAACATATTGCAAGGTTGCCAACATGCAATTTTGTATATGCCATGGGTTTAGGTCTGGACTTACAAGTCCGGAACTGAACCTAAACCTCTGGACTTGAATCCGGACTTGAACCTAAATGTGGGTTTAGGTATGCAGCACTATGCACCGGTGCAGGTATGTAGAAAAGAGTATTTCGCATCCTTATTAACACTGACCTGAGAGTTGTAGACTGTCCATGCCTGCTGGTCAGTCACTACGGCCGGTTCTGAGGGGGACGGACTTGGGGAGGTCTGGGATGATGTTCTCCGTAATGTGCTCACTGCACCTGTTGGAAAAATATACACAAACATAAACTTCAACTGTGTAACTTCTAATGTGAAAACAGATCAAATAGGTTTCTATTTGATTTGTTGGTTCTTGGATTTTTTTCTGGGAAAAATGAAGTGATGTGGAAAAAATATAATATAATAATAGAATAAATAACAGAAACAGACCAAATAGGTAGAAACTCTACCTTCATGATTTACATGTTCCATAAATATGATTTTAAAAAATCATATGCGCATAAACGTACCGTCTTTAGATAAATGCTCCTTGACTACGTGATCGACGTAGTCCTTGTCGCTGACGCCTTCCAGCGGCAGGGTGGGACAGACTCCGTTCTCCCCGTACCTACAGACGAAAGACCCGCCTTCTCTCACACAGTGCCGCTCCCTCAGGTGCTTCCCGAAGTCCATCCGAGACTTGAACGTGGAGTGGTCCGAACACACCGCGCACTTTAACACCACCGCCCGGGACACAGCCGGGGGAGGCCGCTGCGTTCCCGTAGCTTCCATGGGAGCTGGATTTTCCTCTCACCGGCGCATTTTCGGCCACAAAAATCGTCCAAAGTGCAGATGTTTTTTTCTCTCAGGTTGAACTCTGATCTTGTGATCGAAGACTTGTCTTGGGGTCGAAAATGTTCGCTCTGTTATGCCGTCATATACCGCCTAGACAGTCCAAGACACGCCCTTCTTTATCGAAATAGATACGTTCCATTTTATAAGTCGTGAAACACTCACGGTTTTCTTCGTGGAAGACAAGAAAAACGAGTTTTTTCGAGATTTCTTGGTTCACTTCGGATTTTTTTCTCAATCGGCGGCCATGTTGTAAATTACCCACAATTCCATAGCGGACGTGGCACACTGACAGCAACAAATTTTTATTTACGGATGTGGAAAATCACAGATAAACACGTAAACAAATCGCGGTAAACTAATAAAACACAACAGTTGTAACATCTTAATGTAGGGATGTGCTAAAATGGTAAGGTAAAGTAATATTTTGGGTGAAAACTTTGGAACGAGCAAATTTTCGTATTTCAGTGTGATGCCTGACCAACAGTTCTTTATGAAATGAAATAAATTCAATGTATTTTAATATTACTAACCAAAATTGCAGATTGAAATTAAATTGATATAATTACTAAAAATGTCTAATATTTCATTTTGTAAAAAAATACTTTCTTCTGGAACCAACAAACAGGCACTATTGTGGTCGCAGTGGGCAGCTATCTCACTCATTTTACTTCCGCATTCTACCTTGTCCATTCTTCTTCGCTCTAGTCCAGTTTATTTCTCCCCTTGACCACTCCGGCTGAATCGCAGTGACCACGTCATGACTGACCAGTCCCAGTACGTCCTGCCCACGGACTCGCCCGTGGCGCTGCTGGACTGTAAGGCGGCGTTCGGCCTGCTGACTGACCGAGAGAAGCTGTACGCTCACTACCTGTCCCAGGCACGTGTGTTTCCGCCCCCCTCCCTCACCATATGTTAGTGTAACGCCTTTCTTTAGAACCACGAATTTTTCCTTTTCTCAGTATTTCTTCTAAGAATATTATTTTGCTAAAAATATTTTTTTTGCATGAATACACGCTTGTATATGATATTATTATATATTAAGAAGGTTATGTTTTCCATAGCGTCTGTGTGTAAGTGTGCTCTTGTAACAAGTTGTATTAATCATAAATTATGGTTGAAGGCATGTGGGTCATTTCGGGGAAGAGTGATAAGCAGAACGCCAGTAATTAAAAATGTGAAGGGCTCATAATCTTGCCAGGAGCCAGCAGGAATTTGTTTTGTGTGACTGTGTGTGTCCGTGTGTGTGTGTTTGTATGTGTGTGTGTGTCGTGTATGGGTGTGCGTGTGTGTGTGTGTGTGTGTGTGTGTGTTTTCTCATGGTTAAGTTGCAATGGATATAAAAAAGTTAATTGGGTTCAGTCTGTTCCAGGGTGAGAAAGTCATTAATCACACTTGTCAAGTGTATGTCTGGTAGCCCGGGACCAGTGGGGTTTTTACGGGCTCCTCCTGTTTCTTACAGTGGTTCCCACACCGGCCCTGGGAGTTCTGGCAAAGATTGCCGCTCCAGGGATGTCGAATTCGGAAGATTCGAGTACGAATCTTGAAAAGAAAAGGGGGAGTAGTGTAACAGTTGGGGGTTTATAGGCGCTACTAACTGACCCAGCCAATGGGTCTAGACCTTTTAGCTCACTCAGTTAGAGCGTCTGCCTGTGGCCCGGGAGCCGTGAGTTCGAATCCGGCCCGGGACCAAGGGGTTTTTATCTGTTTCTACTGTCTCCTCCTGGTTTCTTACATAACCTTGCAAATTGACAGCTGGCACCTGCGTGGTGTTTTTCTCTAATGCACAATACAGAAGGGGATTACAAATGGGTTACGTTGCGTCCTAAAAAGTTGTGACTTGTATATAGACACCATGGTTTCCTGGAGGATTGAGATCTCCAAACTCTTGTTGTGTCATGTCTTTACAAATTCATTTTTGTTTGCGGGGGATAAATTTCACATTTGGAAAGGAAAGGAGATTTTTGCGGTGTTTTTAGTGGTTGAAACAATACTAATTTTTAGCATATGGTAACTAGTACATTTACAGTGTTTACAAGATCATTGTAGGCATTGCAAAGGTCATGGACAAACTAATTTACTCAATATTGTGACAGTATGCCGCTATTGATGCATATCTTACACCATTGTCTTGTCTAATTTCAGATGCAGAAGCACGGCGCGGTCCTTGTTGTGGAAATAATAGAGAAGATTAGGATCAAAGAGCTTGTTTCTTAAGACTCTCCTGATATGTATCTAAATGAGTGTCAAAGCAAGTGCATGTGTAACTTCATCTGGGTTTACTTACTAAGTAAACAAACGTCCGTGCCAGGTGTGCATTCCACTGCCACCCATCCCAGCTGGTATAAACAACCATGCAGCGTTCTTGTCATGGGTTTACCATATGACGTTAAAAATGTGTCTCGTGATGTTAAATACTATACAAAGTAGATTAGAAATTGCTATGGACAGGCACATACTGTGAATAGTGCAAAAATGTGTTCCTACATCAAGTAGTGCAGGAATGAATTTCAACAGCACCAACGTTAACCGTTTTGTAGGGCTCGAAATCAAAGGTGGTCCAATGGCCACTGACCGCTAAAATTTAGGCTCAGCCTAGGACAACTGAAAAGACACTTTGGGACATTTTTGGGACAATAGAAAAATAATCAATATCAGAATGTCAGCCCTTCTTTTTTTACCAGGCACACATCCTGGCTTTTGGATCCGGAAAAATCCCCCCAAATTTCGTGTCTACAATTACAGTGCACCTGCAGCGCTAGCTGGGAGTGAACATAAGCAAAATAAAGTTGACTTCAAGCTGAAGTCACAGAATTCTTAAAAAAAAAACAGGTTGGGACAGTTCATACTCACTTCGGGACAAATGAAATATATTTTTGGGACAGTGCTGGGACAATATGCATAATACTTTTTTTTATTAATAGGAAAAAAAGTTAATTTCGTGGCCTGATATGGCAGGGACTACATGTAACATCAGACAATAATATGTTGATGGTCTCTTTCTACTCCAGGCCTCCTGGTATGGAGGGCTGATAGTCTTGCTGCAGACATCCCCAGAGTCACCGGGAATCTTCGTGCTGCTACAGAAGATGTTCCAGGCTCAGTCTCCCACAGACCTGGAGCAGGCAGCTACATCCGCACCTGATGGACCCTCTCAGGAGGAGTTCCAGGTGATACAGCTGTCTTGAGCTCAGGATTGATTCAATTAACTACACAGGGATCAAAATACTGGGTGCATGTGCACCCAAATTTGGAGCAGTGCACTCATATATTTTCGTAGGTTTACGTATGATGTTAAATGTATTGTAGTATACAGCATATTCTTAACATCTAAGTGTTAGAAAAATAATAAAATCATTGTTACAACACTTTCTGAAGAAATAAAAAATAATTAGTTTTTGCTTTTTAGTTTTTCTTATTTTATCTTATATGGTGTACCCAAAATATTTTGTGTGCACCCAATTTTTTAGGTTGGGTGCACCAGTGCACCTATTCTCAAAAATGAAGTTCGAGCCCTGCTACATTAAAGAAATGAACAGAAAGTTGACTTTGAAAATCCATGTTTTACCACCATGAACTTGCATTAGATGCCTTTAAGATCATCAATAGAATGCAATAAAAATGTCAATGCAGGGCTCGAAATACTGGGTGCATGTGCACCTTAGTGCACCCAAATTTGGAGCTGTGCACACAATTTTTTTCTGTGATTGCACCAGTACACCCAAATATTTTCATAGGTTTACATATGTAAAGATGTTAAATGCACAGTCGTACAATGTATACAGCATATTCTTAATTTTAAGTGTCAGAAAAATGATAAAATCATTGTTATAGTACTTTTCTTAAGAAATGATGACATTCTACAATTGTTTTTTGTACTTGTTTGATAATTAGTAAGTTATTTTATCTTATATGGTGCATCCCAAAATTTCTTTTGTGCACCTAATTTTTTTGGTTGGGTGCACAAGTAGTGCACCTATTCCCAAAAATGAATTTCAAGCCCTGCAATATAATGAATGAATTATTTTACCAGAAATATTCTTTGCGTTTTCATTCATTTTTTTGCAGGCCTTGATGGTGTATGCCGCTGGTTTCTATTCCAACATGGGCAACTACAAGTCCTTTGGGGACACCAAGTTCATCCCTGGGCTACCAGTGGTAGGTCTAGGTTAAGGCCGCACAACACAGTATTTATGGGCCAACCCCGTAGTCAAAAGTAGTCCGGGCACAAAGTAGTGCTGCACAATACTAGAGAAAGGTGCCAAGATTGTTCTGTGCATGGCATCAAGATGGAACCTGTGGTAAATGTTAGAGGAATACGTCAGTTTTGAGACTGTAAAAGTTGAATTATGGTGCGTGGCGTAGATTTGCGCTTGGATACTTGTCCCGCCTAGTACTGTGCGTCGGCTGCAGTTCCATGACCTCCGCAGTGGCGCTAATAAAAGAGGGCATGAGAAGAGAACTAGTCGGCAAATCTAAGCTCATTTTCACATATTTTGTACACTATACCCTGCAATTAAACACATCAAATTCTGAACCTTGCTTGTGCACCCTACTATGATTTTCAGTGAGTTGAAGTGAGTCTCTTTGGGGTCCTTAACTATAAAAATCCCCATTGGGCGAAAACTGTGTTGTGTCGCCTTGAAGCTTAATTACTTAATATTAGAGTCACAGATCCTGTTAGACAATGTGGTAAAGTGCCCTCTAGTGACAGCTTTTGGTACAGCACCACATACATGTTCAAGTACAACTTAGAGCTCCTGTCACAGATACAGAACCTTCCCACAAACACCGAGCTTGGCTGAAGTTGGGGAGCAGGCTGACCAGATGTAAGCCAGGCCTATGTATTTGTATGAATCAAATTGGATTTGAGTTAAATTTGAGTCAAATCTTACCCTCAAACACACCTCGCACGCTGCTGACCTACTCTCGAACACCAGCCAACCACCAGCCACACATTTCCAATTTTTTGTAAAAATTTCTTGCCTAGTGGTTAAGAAGTACCTATTAGTATAAGCAACTCGAGTAGGTGCAAAGTATCTTTCCCAGGACACATCATTGGGGCTTGTCAGGGATTCGAACCCAGAACCTTCATATTCTGAGTCAACAACCCTAACTACAATATTCTATGTGTATTTCTACAGGAGAAGTTTAAGGCTGCAGTATGGTCCAGTGCAGCCTACAAGGCAGATCCAACAGGCACTGAAAAGCTGTGGACAGCCGTGTCAGGACCCCTGTACTCTCTCACAAACAGGGAGAAACAGCTGGGACTCGGAGACAAGGTAAACATGTTTTTGTTGTTATTGTTGTTAGGCTATGTTGATTTGATTATATGGATGACATCCACGCATGCACGAATTTTTGTCTTTTTCCCAAAAAAAAGTTTTCAACCATACTGTAAATCGTACAAAAGTAGCCACAAAATGAGCAAATTTAAGACATAAATTCAAAAAATGCTGAAAAACGATACTTAGTTACGTCACAGAATGCAAAAATCCATTCCAGGACAAGAAGAAAATGTGAAGGAATGAAAATGAAGAGTCTATTATTCACCATGCCAATAAAATATTACTCTGCGTCATTTTTTTAACCTTCATGACCACCTAGATTTCATAATCAATTTTTTTTGTGACTAACTTCTTTTTATTTGCACGCTTGCATCAGTTTTTTGTTTTCCATAGGATGTCATCCATATAATTAAATCAACATGGCCTTACATAATGGGAATTTCTATACTTGTGGTACATGTACTTGGAAGTTATGTGATGGTGAAATTGTTGAATGTTGATGCAAATGTGGACCTGATTGGCATTATCCCCCCTCTCGCCGAAGAGATTTTTTCAAACTTCTCTTAGGCCACACCAATTTAATTTCTTGGTTAACAGATTTTTCTAGAAAAATAATGGAGCGGGCAGGCGAAAAAATAAAAAATAAAAACAGGCCTGGGCATCCTTTTATGGCCCAAAATAGGAGCCATGAAGTCAACACACCAGGCTGGTTTAAAATTTAAACAATGAATTTTGAACTTTTAATGATACCATAGCATTGAAAGATGGAATAACTGTAACAACTAGGATGAAAAGGACTGTTTTCAACTGTTCAGAACAAAATATGAGCATTTTGCAGTAACTGTTGATTCTGAATTTGTATATTTATTTTTATTTGCAAATCAGAAAAAAATGAAGCGAGCGAATCCATTAACCAAGAAATTAAATTGGTGTGGCCTTATTGTTGTTTTGGCTTTGTTCATTAATTATCTGTTGTTGGTAGTGGTTAAACCAACTCTGTGTAACAGTCACTGTCCTTGGTGCTGAATATCATTCTAACCGATGGTTAAAGTAACAGTCACTGTCCTTGGTGCTGAATATTATTCTAACCAATGGTTAAAAAGTAACAGTCACTGTCCTTGGTGCTGAATATCATTCTAACCGATGGTTAAAGTAACAGTCACTGTCCTTGGTGCTGAATATCATTCTAACCAATGGTTAAAGTAACAGTCACTGTCCTTGGTGCTGAATATCATTCTTACTAATGGTTAAAAGTAACAGTCACTGTCCTTGGTGCCGAATATCATTCTAACCAATGGTTAAAAAGTAACAGTCACTGTCCTTTGTGCTGAATACCATTCTAACCAATGGTTAAAAAGTAACAGTCACTGTCCTTCGTGCCGAATATCATTCTAACCAATTGTTAGAATGATATTCAGCACCAAGGACAGTGACTGTTACTTTTGGAAAAATATTCCTTGTAAGACACTAAGATGGCTTTAGTAAAATGTTTGTTTCCCCTCCCAGGGTATAACTACTTACTTCTCCAAGAACTGTGACCTGAAGGATGCAGAAATTGCACAGAGGTTCCTGGATGAGAAGGTACTGTATGAAAAGTTAACCTTTCAGTGAAATTTCAACAGAAGAATATTTCATCTGAAAATGTAGATGACACAGTTTTTTGTGTAGGCGATGCAGGTGTTTGCGCAGAAGATGCAGTTTGTTGCATAGAAGATGCACCTGGTGATTGTGTAGATGATGCAGGTGTTTGCGTAAAAGATGCAGGTGTTTCCATAGACGACACAGCTGTTTATGTAGATGATGCAGGTGTTTCCATAGACGATACAGATGTTTGCACAGACGGTGCAGGTGTTTGTCTAGATGATGCAGGTGTTTGGGAAGACAATACAGGTGTTTGCACAGGCAGTGCAGGTGTTTGTGTAGACAATGCAGGTGTTTGGGAAGACAATACAGGTGTTTGCACAGGCAATGCAGGTGTTTGTCTAGATGATGCAGGTGTTTTGGAAGACAATACAGGTGTTTGTACAGGCAATGTAGGTGTTTGCACAGGCAATGCAGGTGTTTGTCTAGATGATGCAGGTGTTTGGAAAGACAATACAGATGTTTGCACAGGCAATGCAGGTGTTTGTGTAGACGATGCAGGTGACTGTTAGCTTACTTGTAATCCATAGTCCATGATCCAAACTTGTTTTTCTTGTGCAGAAAATCAGCCCATACAACACCAGGCTGTTCAAGACTGATGCAGGATATGAAGTACGGCTGGCATCCTCTGCAACATCAGGTATATAGTATTAAATTTATATTTTCATGGGTAAAGTGAAATTGACTGTGATAAATATATTTTACATTGAAAATAATCATTATGATGATAATAATTATGATAACTGTTCCTAGGCCACACCAATTTGATTTCTTGGTTAACGGATTCCCCCACTTCATTTTTTTCTGATTTGCCAAAAAAATAAAGAAATTCAGAATCAACTGCAAAATGCTCATATTTTGCCCTGAACAGTTGAAAACAGTCCTTTTCTTCCTAAATTGTTACAATGTTCCATCTTTCAATGCAATGGTATCATTAAAAGTTCAACATTCATTGTTTAAATTTTGAACCAGCCTGGTGTGTTGACGTCATGGCTCCTCTCACACTATTTTGCGCCATAATAGGATGCCTAGGCCTGTTTTTATTTTTTATTTTTTTCGCCCGCCCGCTACATTATTTTTCTAGAAAAATCCGTTAACCAAGAAATTAAATTGGTGTAGCCTTAGTTGTAAATTACCAGTGTAACTATGAACTGCAATTGACAAGCCATCTGATTCAGTCTTTTCCTTGTACAGTCTGATACATTGTTATGGGTTAAGTAAATAACTGTTATATGGTAAAGTTGTATCTTTCATATGGGTAAAGTACTATTTTCATGGATAAAGATTTTATACTTTTTTGTGAGCTTCTCAATTTGGTTCAGTACCATGGTTTTTAGCAGTCAATGGTTTTCAACAGAGCTTGCAAAAATAACAAGACTGGCAATGAAAACATACATTACCATGGTGACGGTGGTTGCTGTTAGGGTTATTGTTTGCATGGCACTGCCATCATTTCATGACTTTGAGGAAGACTCGATACCTATTAAGCCTAGACAGATACAGTGCACTCCTCCCCTGAGTGTATAGTGAACGAGCCCCGGGGTCACAGAAAGTAGGGCCATCCGTGGCAGACAGGTCTTCTGGGTCTTCCTAAGGGTTTCCAGGAATGTGGGCATAGATGTGGGTCAGAGAAATGCCTGTGGACATTCCATTCCTGTGGACAAAATGCCAGTACAATTCCTAGAATTCTTGCAAACTGCACACAATACTGTACCATTAGGCTCCTCCCTGAGATGTCGCCAATAATTAATATGATCATTATAAATTCTCCTGTGTTGCCCTCAGAGTCTCCAGTGGAGGGCATGAAGGATGATGTGCAGTTCTCCTCAGGACAGATAGATGGCACTAACTTCACTGTTAAGAGGGGAGACTATGCACCACTCATGGAGAAAGTGGTGCATAACCTTAAGCTGGCCAAGGTAACTACATCTAAAATGTATTATAATTATGATATTAAGATCTAACACAGAAATCAATGTTAAAAGTTAAAGTACTAGTTGTTTGCATGTCTTCTAGATGAAAATAATTGATTCCAGGGCTCGAAATTCATTTTTGGGAATAGGTGCACTGGTGCACCCAACCTAAAAAATTGGGTGCACAAAAATTATTCTGGGTGCACCATATAAAATGAAATAAGTATACTGTCAGCAAGAACCAGTATGAAATAGTACCACAACAATAATTATATTATTTATCTGATACTTGGATGTTAAATACACTGTATATACTAAATGCTTAACATCTTTTTTTTTATTCTTTACGTACGAAAACCTAAGAAAGTATTTGGGTGCACCAGGGCACCCACAGAAAAAAATTGGGTGCACAGCTCCAAATTTGGGTGCACTGAGGTGCACATGCACCCAGTATTTCCAGCCCTGGATTCCAAAGTGTATATTTTTCTGTAACTTATTAGAAACTTTACTTTAAAGTACATGGCTGGTTTAAAATCTAATAGATTAGATAACACCTAGTACAAAGGGTTTGGAAAGTTTATTTTGGATGATTATTTCTGTCAGATTTAATTTTTTTTTCTCCCTTACATTAGAGCAATGCAGCTAACCCCAGTGAAGAGAAAATGCTAACAGAATATGTAAGGAGCTTCACCATTGGCTCAATAGATGCTCACAAGGATGGATCACGGCACTGGATCCAGGACAAGGGACCAATCGTGGAGAGGTTAGCTTTCAGAAATTCTGGGTGGCAAAACTGGATTTTCAAAGTCAATTTTCTTGTCATTCTCTTAATGTTGAATCAACCCTATCCCACACTGATATTTGTGGGAGGAAAATGAAAATAATGTTGCTAACACTAACACAAAACGTTTTTTGCTTGTTTTGTATACATGTATTAGGATGGTTCTAGCTTATTTATGTTCAGTACCCTGAAAAAAGAAAGAGATGCGTCACATATATAATTGTTCATTTTTGGGCTTTTTCAAACACTTCCAAGTATAAAATGTGCTAAGAAATGTCAGTAAATGTCAGTATTAGACAGATTTTATCATCCAGAATTGTTTTTGTTTTGCTGCCCTGAAATAGCATTAATTGGATGCCTTTAATTTGTTTGGATAAAGATTTTACCGAGTAGAACTATTTTAGACTTGAAGACAGCCCCTCTCTCAGTCCAATTTGTCATTGTTCCTTTTCTTACTTCCTTCCAAACAAAACGTCAATGACCTGGATGAAATGTCTTTTATCATGGTAACTGGGTCTGTAGCAGACACCCTGTTGTGTTGGGTTACATTATGTAGCAAATTATAGGACAGAGTTGGACTTGCGTACCCATTATGACATGAATGTGTACAAGTTATAAACAGAGATGAAGTAGTTTACTGGGACACTGACCAATAATTGTGAGGGTAAACATTATGCATTTTGCTTTGCAAATAAATGCTACTTTTTTATATGCTACCACGGTATTTGCTACTTCCATGGTAAATGCTCCATGGAACTTCACTCGCTAGTGCCTCCACCTCAAACATTCTCAGCAAGGACACGTTTTGCCACTTCCACTGAAGCAAATAACCCTTTCTTCCTCCATACACGCCTCCAGGAGGAAGTTCCACGCTGAAAGCTTCTTTCCTAGAACAACATCACTATGGAACAAGCTACCACATGATTGTTTCCATCATGGGTTCAACCTTAAACTTTTTAAGTCCAAGGTCAACAAACATCTGTCCTCACTGGCCTACAGTAACCCGAAACATTTATTTAATAAGTGGCTCCCATGAGCCTTGTTTTGTGGTGAACTATTAAGTTAAATTTAATGAAAAATATATATACTGTAGTTATATCTTCTGCTTTTTATTCCCAGCTACATAGGGTTCATCGAGAGTTACCGTGACCCGTTCGGAGTCCGCGGGGAGTTTGAAGGCTTCGTTGCCATGGTGAATAAGCAGATGAGCGCCAAGTTTGCGTCGCTGGTGGGCGCGGCTGAGGAGCTGCTGCCCCTCCTGCCCTGGCCGCGGGAGTACGAGAAGGACCGCTTCCTCCGGCCGGACTTCACCTCGCTGGACATACTGACCTTTGGAGGCAGTGGGATTCCAGCCGGCATCAACATTCCAAACTGTAAGGACTGTTTGATGTTATCTGTATCTGTATCTGTATAGCCGGTATAACCGCCCTTTGGCATAACACACCAGCTTCGCAGGCGCGCGGCACGGCGGCAGCTGGCTACATTACACAGATCGACTTGTTACACCTAACCCTTGAACTTCTAGCTCTAGACTTTGTTTAAAGCTATCTATTGACAATGCCCCTACTGTACCTGGTGACAGTGAGTTCCACTCTGCAATTAGTTCTAGGAAAGAATGAATTCTTGAACACCTCAATCCTTGGTTGATAACTCTGGTACTTGAAGGCATGGCTATTTCTTGTTCTCTTCTAGGCTGGTATTAGGTACTTAGTAGTTGGGACATCCACCAGTGTATTAGTCATTTTGTACATCATGCATAGTCTGGACATCTTTCTTCTGTCTTCCAGTGAGGCCCACTGTAGGTTTCTTTTCATTTCCGTGACACTAGCACGGAAATGTTAGGGTTACTAGAGAATTCTTTCAGCAGTGACAAGTTTTTGAAGGGTATACTAACTTTTTGATGTGTCAGTCCATCTTGATCACAGAGTGGCCTAGTCTCGTGCCAAGTCTCGTGCCTAGCCTCATGCTCTCGCGAGACTTAAGGCCACTCTGTGAACAAGATGGACTGATATTCATCGAAAAGTTAGTACTCTTACCTTTCAAAAACTTGTCACTGCTGAAAGAATTCTCTAGTAGCTATAACTATACGTGACAAATGAATCTCTTCAATGATGTTTGATATTAATATCACAAAGGGGTGATGTCTACAACAGAACACTTAGAAACAGGACAAAACTGACACAGTATACATGTACTACATGTATGAGTGTCAGACACAACATATGCTAAACAGTATACTACCTTAGTGTGTTTGTTTGTTTGCTAAATGACAGTAAAGTTGTAATGTAATAATGGAATTTTAAGTCTTAAGTCGTGTAATATCAGCTAGACTTGTTCTTGATTCTCATAATGCTTAATGCTTGATTTTGAATGGGTGGGTTCTTCCCACTGCCTGAGGGACCAGCGAGCGCTGTAGGGGTGTCCGGGGGCATGCTCCCCTGGGAAATTTTGAAAAATTAACCTTCTGAAATGACATTTCCTGCGTTTTTAAAGGATTTCAAAGAAAAAATCAGAGAGAACTTTTTTCAGTGATTAAGTGAGCAGTTTTCCTACGACGGATTCCAGCCTTGCTGGTGACACGAATCAGTCCATCTTTCAAAGAAAAATCTTGGACCTTTAGATAAAAAGTAGACCAAAAAGTGGACCTTTGAGCCTTGTCAGGGGGTTTGTCCAAACCCCCCTTGGCTACGAGCATGAAATTTGAAGGACGTGTTTGTGTACAGAAACCGCAATTCAGCACTGGTGCTGCAAAGGTTTTTATATTGAATAAACAATTTTTGTTTGTTTGTTTGTTGCGTGATCAGACGATGACATCCGTCAGAGCGAGGGGTTTAAGAACGTGTCGCTGGGAAACGTGCTGAACGCGCAGTACGCCTCGGACGCACCCGACAAGGTCACCTTCCTCGCACCACAGGACAGGGAGATCTTCATGAACTTCAAGGTCAGGAAAGTTCCAAATTGTGTAAAATAGGACTTTCTAAGACATTTTTAGTAGGTCAGGAAAGTTCCAAATTGTGTAAAATAGGACTTTCTAAGACATTTTTAGTAGGTCAGGAAAGTTCCAAATTGTGTAAAATAGGACTTTCTAAGACATTTTTAGTAGGTCAGGAAAGTTCCAAATTGTGTAAAATAGGACTTTCTAAGACATTTTTAGTAGGTCAGGAAAGTTCCAAATTGTGTAAAATTGGTAAATTGTAATTTCTACCGGCTGAAATTAAACAAAAATGCTCATAACAACCTTATCTATTCGTAATACGTATAAATATCGACCTTTCACCGTAGAAGAGCGTAATTTACCGAAGAAGATGCAGCACCGCTCGATGCCCCAATGGAACCTATTGTGGAAGCCAGCTGAGTATACGTACGCGCCTCGTTTTCGTGCAAGATCATGTGCGTGCGGGACCGCTTTTCAAAATGGCTGCGGAGATTGGAATTACGTCTATTGTGTAAAATGGGACTTTTTTAGACTATTTTTAGTAGGTCAGGAAACTTCCAAATTGTGTAAAATTGGTCCAGGACATTTTTAGTACAAGGTCAGAAACCTTCCAAATTGTGTAAAATGGGACTTTTTTCATGTTTTAAGACAAAAAAAAGTACATTTTTGGCTCCAGTACCCTTAGAATCTTGAAACCAAATGACCTGAAGAACAGTTTTATGAAAAATCTCTGACTTCCAGTAACCATTTTCCGTCAGAATTTTTGCTCCATGAGGATCAATATACTTTGGGATAGTGTAGTTTCAACTCAGTATGTAGATAATTGACTAGAAATGGCTTTGAAAAATCGGGTTTCAAAGCCCTAAAAACTGCTGCAGCACTGGATGCCTTTGACAAAAAAGGACACATGTACATGATGAAAATAGAATTAAGTGGCTCTGACCTAGCAACTTTCATTTATCAAGCGTGGTGGAAAAGAAGAAAATACCTGTATTCATAACACATTAACAGTTTTCACTTTTTGTTACTTCTGCACGTTTGTTTTCTCTTATTAGGCCACACCAATTTAATTTGTTGGTTCTTGGATTTTTTCATAAAAAATATGAAGCGGCAGGGCGAAAAAAAATAAAAATAAAAACAGGTCTAGGCATCCTATTATAGGCTTCAATGCTACGAAATGAGCCATGAAGTCAACACAAAAGGCTGGGTTAAAATTTGAACATTTGAATTTTGAACTTTTAATCAAACCACTGCAATGATAGATGGGAAAACTGTAACAACTAGGAAGAAAAAGACTTCCCTCAACTGTTGGGGGCAAAACTTGAGCATTTTTCAGTTGATTCAGAACCAGAATCAATTTTTTTTTTTTTTTTTTTGCAAATCAGAAAAAAACGAAAACTCTGAGGCGAATCCGAGAACCAACAAATTAAATTGGTGTGGCCTTATGTTTGATTTACCTTATGTACTAAGTCTTGTATTTATTTTGTGAGTTCTTGGTTCATTATGTACAGATTTGTTTATTTGCATTTAAGATCTGTTATGAGTTCACTTTGTTCACCATTATTGTATAATTATAGCCTTCCTTTATTTGTGTTCATATTTTGTTTAGATTCTGTTATCTGTACCTTTGATTCTCTTTTGTTTAATGTATAATTTATTGATTCGGTGTCGTATAAGCCCACACAGGCTGGGCGCGGGAAAGCACACGACACAAAAATAAAGTCTCATTCATTCATTCATTGTACATTTTTGTGCAGGTGCCGTCGTTCGAGGTCCAGGTGGGTCTACACGAGCTGTTGGGACACGGCAGCGGCAAACTGTTCAAAAAGGAGGCTGACGGAACGTTTAACTTCGACGCAGAAAACGTCAAACACACCGAGACTGGTGAAAAGGTAACAGTTACACCAAAACACTTTCAGACTGAGACTCATATATAATTCTACAAGACCGACATACCTACATGTATCATGTACATGTAAGACCGTCGTATTAAAAGATGTTGTTACCAAGAATGACTTAAAATATAATTTTGTTTGATTGATTTATTTTTTTATTGTTACAGTACTTGTTTATTATCTTTTTATTAATTCTTCAATGTTATTTCTATTTCATTTGATATAACTAAAAATTGTAGAATCATGACTAAATCCAAATGCCTTCCCCCGACAGATCTCGAGCTGGTACCAGCCTGGGGAGACCTGGGACTCCAAGTTTCCTGTCATCTCCTCCTCGTATGAAGAGTGTCGTGCAGAGTGTGTCGGCATCTACCTCTGTCCTAACCCACAGGTACAGTCCTCAGTAAAGATTATTAACTGAATGCAAAGAATTCGTAACATACAATGTATGTATTGTAGTGCAAAGTACTCTTTATTTCAAACTGTAAACTTCACATTCAACAAGGTAACATAATGTTTTTGCTCTGTTTCCTCTTCTTCTTCTCCAAACCAATAAGTTCAATGACCTGAACCAGATGTCTGTCACCATGGTAACTGGTGTTGGGTTACATCATGTTGCCATTTTATTGCAGGAGGGATTTAGACTCCTGTCACCATATATATAAATTATATATAATATACAATGTGTTTGAGTAAGAATTAACAGTGAGAGCAGACCATATGCGAAGGTAAACATTATGTATTTGCTTTGCAAATGTTATAACCTTTCTAGTTTATTTTAATTTAATTTCATTTTATTTTTGTCTCAGGTTCTTAAGATCTTTGGACATGAAGGGCAGGAGGCGGAGGACATCATGTACATAAACTGGCTGAACATGGTGCGTGCCGGGGTGCTGGCACTGGAGTTCTACACACCTGACACAGCCGCATGGAGACAGGTGGGAAGGAACGACTGAAGGAACGACTGAAGGAATGACTGAAGGAATGAATGAGTGACTGAATGAATGAATGACCAAATGAATGAATGACTAAATGAATGAGTGAATGAATGAATGAATGGCTGAATGACAATGAATGAGCAAATGAATGATTGAAAATCATTCTTATTGTCATCACTCTTTTATTTTCTTTCTGACACATAACATCTGTGTCCATAATATCACCATAGTCCATAATATCGCCACCTTGAGAAAAAGTGTGCTTAAAGATATCTTTACTGCAACATACCCTAGGTATGTACATTTGAGGTGTGCAGGAGTGCATACCAAAAGTATGTTGCAGTAAAAATATCTCAAAGCACACTATTTCTCAAGGTGGTGATATTATGGACCCTGGTGATATTATGGACATGGATGTTACTGTAATTATGGGTTCACCACAAAGTGGTGAAACCATATTGTTTTTGCTGATGTTTCTTCTTCTCCTCCCTCTTCTCCTGCCATTTCTGTAAATGGATTCAGCTTCTTCATTTTGGGGCCTAAGGACCTGAAATTTGGTATGGAGGTACAGTAGGCAAATACCCCCAGGCGTTTTTTTATTTTTGTGATACAGGCTTTTAGAATGGTTTTATTTGAGTGTTTTGGCTGTGTAATAGCTAATGTATTACTGTGTAAGTGTGCAGTGTTTACCACATTTGGGCATGAGTCATCACAATGGCATGCAAGGCATCAACCAATAGGCATGCAGCTTTCCTCTATTCTCCTTGCTGATTGGCTGTTGGGATTTAACTGGCTTAACTTCATTTACACCTGCACAGAGCCATGCCATACTGACAGTATGTCTGTATTCAAGTGTTTTGGTAGGTATTTTAAGCTTTCCTGCTCCAGCATTGGAATGCAGGCTATGAACGCTTCTTTTTATCTTGAAAATCAACAGTTTGCATTATGCAATCCTAACCAATAATGTAGGGAATAGCTATCCAACTGTTGTAGTCTTAGTTGTATGTTACTTCATACTATAGTTATATCAATGTAAAGCATTGTTTTCTCTTGTGTTTCTCATTCTTTCCCTGCCATGTCGTAAAATGTGGTGAAGCCATCGCTGTATTTGCTCCAAAGCAAATGTCGGCCTTTCTAGTTCCTGATCTTTTCACTGCACTGTTCAAGTTCAATTTTATTTACATCAACTGGCATGTACACAGATTCTCAGAAAATGTGACATGAAATTCGTTGACAATTACAATAAAAGCTCTCAACATGAAGACAACGATTAAAAACAGCATAAAAACCAGATAAAAATACAAAACACTTGTGATGAACAGAGTTCAGTTCTTATACTTGTACAGCTTGTTACATGTATGTTCACTGTTTTCACTGTCACTTCTGTACGGTGAACTTATCATTACAGTTAACAAATAATTCCTGGACTTTCTTTTTCCAGCTCCTGTTGCCACCGTGAATACAATAGTTCCGTGAACATGTCCATTTTTCTCAGACTGTGAACTTTTGCTACCAAATTTGGGTGCACTAAGGTGCATATGCAGCCAGTATGTCGAGCCCTGGACAGAATATTTTTTGTTTCACCGGCCCTGTATTGCATTGAATGCCTTACAGCCATTCCTGAATTTCTAAAGGTGAAGTTGACTTGTTCCCCCATGGCAGGCTCACATGTGGGCGAGGTTTGTGATCCTACAAGTCCTGCTGGAGGCAGGGGAAGACTTCGTGACGGTCACACTGACCCAGGGGCAGGATGGGCAACCTGACATCCTGATCACCATGGACCGGGGTAAGATCCTGACAGTAGGCAAGCCTGCCATCGGTGCCTTCCTGAGAAAACTCCAGGTACGTACAGTCCCTGTTCTAGTTTCTTGCAAGGCCATGTTGATTTGATTATAATTATGGATGACAACCTCTGGGAACCCCAAAACTGATGCAAGCGTAAGAATAAAAAAATAAGTTGTGCAAGAAAAAAAAAAGTTGCTATCATGATTATGAAATAAGTTGCTATCATGAAATCGACGTGGTCATGAAGGTTAAACAAATGGCACAGAGTAATGTATGGCAAATAATCTACCGGGTACATATACTCTTCAAATCCATTTCTTTACATTTTCGTTTGATTTTGGCATTCTACAACATTGGAATTGTTTCAAAAAATTATTTTTGCAACTTACGGTTATATTTGCTCATTTTGCAACTGTTTTTTTACGATTTACAGTATGGATGTAAACTTTTTTCTTTTGGAAACGGCCGAAAATTCATGCACACACGGATGTCATCCATTATTAATCAAATCAACTTGGACTAATAGCAAGTCAGCAGAACGTACATGTACTGCGCCTCTGCAAAACCCTGATTTTTTGCAGTTTTTGGTCACCATTGCATTTAGAATTTTGCCTGTTGCAGAGGATAGCTTTTCCGACATAACATTCAGAAACTACAGACGGAGTGTTACCCTTATATGCACAAGTATGATCTTGTATGAGACGTTCTGCCAAAGTGCTATGCACAATACAGTACGGGTTTCGCACAGGTGCAGTATGTTCTGCTGACGTGCTGTTTCTTGTCATATTCCTTATTACTGTACAATCAAACTTGGCCACCTCAGAGTTTACAAGCCGGCCATTTGGCTATAACAATCGCTGTGTGCAACAGTAACTGATGTTTGATGTACAAGTTACAACATTTTCTCACATAGTATTGGGGTGCTGTACCAAAAGCTGTCACTAGGGGGCACTTCATCACATTGTACATTGTATGTGCAAAGTACTAAGTTATAATGTAAGGCAATGCTAATGGCTGAAATACAAATTACAAGTTGCAAGTTGTACCCCATAAAAGACTGTCCTAGAGATTCTGATTGAAGGATTAATTAGATTGAGGACAATATTCTTACAGACTCTGATGTATTGTTCTTCAAGACTATAATATTAGTTTAGATGATTCAAAAATTGATTGCACTTTCATGTGTATTTATATGTTGAAAACGAGATACACGTTCTACTTGACTGTACATTATATAAAGATGAACGCCAAGAACTACTCGATATTTTACATTTAGACAAGATATGCAAGAAAATGTCAAAGCAGGACATGTTTAAAAACTTGATGTCATGCAAGAACGAATGTATAGCAGACAAACTATGTAATTATGTTTCCAAATGTTTCAAAAAGAGAGAAGAAAGGGCAACTAACAGTAGATGATAGGTAGTATATAGTATCGTTATAATGTATAAATTCCTAGCAATTAGCATTAGAATATAGCGTCCCAGTATGCAATACTCATGTTTTACATACTGCATGTCCTCTTGTGCATTTAGCCCATCTGGGCAAGAACATGCAATAAAGATTCATATCATATCATATATATGTATTACAGGTCTACAAGTCTGTTGCTGACTACCCTTCAGCTAAGGCCATGTATGACAAGTACTCTTTAGTGAGTGAAGAGGGAACTCACAAGTGGCTGACCCTCAGGGACATCGTTCTGGCTCGCAAACAACCCAGGAAAATGTTCGTGCAAGTCAACACAACTGTCAACGGTAGGCTGAGCCTCCAAAATTTGACTTTTTAACAGTTGACAGTTACCAACTTTTTGTACTACGATGCATGCTAATGTCTTTTCCTCATCCAATTTTTTTTGTAGGATGAGTATTTTTTACAACAGCCTCTAGTTTAATTCTCGACTAATTTCCATATCTCACTAACCTTACATCTAGATGGGCTAATATCGTAAACTATAGGTAAGAATGATGTAAGAAATACGTTCTGCTTCTCACTGCTATATGTAGCTAATGTAGGTGGCGCTTTTGCGGCAAGAACACAATCCTAAACAGCAGAACTCAGGTCAGAAGCTCTGACAAAGGTGTCTTATAGACACCGAAACGTCAGCACTTACAAATGTAGGTCAGAGAATTGGTGGTGTAAAAAAAAATCCTGCATCCTATACATGTACTTTACCAAACAGTCCTGATGAAACTATTTTTGGATGTACTTTGACTGTTTGTGTATTTTTGCCTGTGTGGTTTGTTCAGATAACAAGGTGGAGATGAAAGAGTACGAGGCTACAGCGGCAGGTCTGGTCCAGTCCTTTGCAGACCGTTTCCCGAAGGAGGCAGGAGTGGAACAGATTGTGGCAGAACTGTGGGAGAAGGACAGACCCTACTTCAGCTAAACTCCTGTCAGAAAGTTTATGGCAACACTTGTTTAAAGGCATCCAATGAATGCAATTTCATGTTGGCAAAACGTACAATGTATGTCTGATTTTGATTTTACTGCCATTTCTTAGCAAAACTTATAATCATTTCGTACTTAAAGCATGCCCGTAGCCAGGGGGGTGCGGAAGAACCCCCCACAAGGCTCAAAGTCCACTTTTTGGTCCACTTTTTATGTAAAGGCCACTTTTTGGTCCACTTTTTATGTAAAGTTCCAAGATTTTTCTGGAAAAGATAGACTGGAATCGTAGAAAAACTGCTTGAATAAAAATTTATCTCTGATTTTTTCTTTGAAATCCCCTCAAAAATGCACGAAAGGCCATTTTATAATTCAGAAGGTTCATTTTTCAAAATTTTCCGGTGGTGCATGCCCCCTGACCCCCCTGGGAACCTCGCGACTACGGCGCTCGCGGTCCCCTCAAGCAGTGGGAAGAACCCCCCCATTCAAAATCCTGGCTACGGGCATGTAAAGCGTTTGAAATTGCCCCAAAACAAGCTATGAGAGGAGTCCCTATTTTTGGTATCTCCAATCAAAATACAAAAATGTACATGTAGCTAGAAGTTAAAACCAGCTTACGATATGAACAAGCCACCGTTTTCTGTAAGTGACATTGCATCTTTGACTCACAGATATCAGCCTGTTGTGGGATTAGGGTTGATTCAACTTACTGCATTAAAGAAAACAGCAGAAAATTGACTTTAAAAATCCAGTTTTAAAGCCCTGAAATGTCTTTGGGTGCCTTTAGCAGAGCCTAGTATGTGCCTCAGCTATTTTCTTTCATGTACATGATTGTACATCAGTGATGGAAGTATCATTTAAAAGGATAGTGTTACCTGCGAAAACTGGTTTCCATCTTCTAGTCAGTATATAATCATGTCAACTTCTTTCAGAAGCTTATTCTATACATGTACTTCTTTTGACGGATAATACTTAATCATGTGATTAAATATTATTGTACATTTCATTTAGTGAAAATGGTACTAACTCCATTTTGTAAGAGCTTGAGACTTCTCTGTACAATTTGAAATTGTTACGTGTATTTCACTTTATACCATACGTATGGAAGAAATATATTGTTTTTTCTCATCATATTTCACTCTAAGTTTTATGTATGGACTACATGATGACATCTACATGTAACAGTTACATGGAGGTATTGAAACAGAATACTGGAGAGCACTATACAGTAAAGGCTGATATGAAACAGTCCATTTTCAAGTGAGGAGGGAGATGGGGTGAAATAAGCTGTATTAGCTTCCCAACAAATTTCAGCCTTTCTAGTAAGATTGGGGTGAGTTGTCTGAAGTGTAACGTTATGCACATCTACAAGGGGGTTTATGTTTAGTTATGAATGTGGTTCTTCTCATTAAAAATAATCAGGACTGGTGTTTAACATTGGCATGGAGTCATGTTGTCATTGTTTTCTTATGACAGAAAATTAAGAGACTGGCCATTCTAAGGTTGTAGGGTGTAGGTGTACATGTAGGTTCTAAGGTGTAGGTTGAACAAACTTAGTCATTCTGTTTTCTGACTAGGGTACGAAATACTTTCTCAAAATTTCTCATACTACATGGTGGGAAAATATCTCATACTACATAGTGGGAAAATATCTCATACTGCAAAATGTACATAGTGGGAAAATATCTCCTACTACATAGTGGGAAAATTTCTCATACTACATAGTGGGAAAATATCTCATACTACATAGTGGGAAAATATCTCATACTACATAGTGGGAAAATTTCTCCTACTACATAGTGGGAAAATATCTCATACTACATAGTGGGAAAATTTCTCCTACTACATAGTGGGAAAATATCTCATACTACATAGTGGGAAAATATCTCCTACTACATAGTGGGAAAATATCTCATACTACATAGTGGGAAAATATCTCATACTACATAGTGGGAAAATTTCTCCTACTACATAGTGGGAAAATATCTCATACTACATAGTGGGAAAATTTCTCCTACTACATAGTGGGAAAATATCTCATACTACATACATGTGTAGTGGGAAAATATCTCCTACTACATAGTGGGAAAATTTCTCATACTACATAGTGGGAAAATTTCTCCTACTACATAGTGGGAAAATTTCTCATACTACATGGTGGGAAAATATCTCATACTACATAGTGGGAAAATATCTCATACTACATAGTGGGAAAATATCTCCTACTACATAGTGGGAAAATTTCTCATACTACATAGTGGGAAAATTTCTCCTACTACATAGTGGGAAAATATCTCCTACTACATAGTGGGAAAATTTCTCATACTACATAGTGGGAAAATTTCTCCTACTACATAGTGGGAAAATATCTCATACTACATGTACATAGTGGGAAAATAAAGCCAAAAGTTAGGTTGTGCATAGGTTGCTCCAGTTCCAACGCCTAAGGCCACACCAATTTAATTTGTTGGTTCTCTGATTTTGCCTCTTCATTTTTTTTCAGATTTGCAACAACAAAAAATATTCTGGTTCTGAATCAACTCAAATATGCTCATATTTTGCCCCCAACAGTTGAGGAAAGTCTTTTTTCTTCATATAGTTGACACAGTTTTTCCATCTATCAATGCAGTGGTTTGATTAAAAGTTCAAAATTCATTGTTAAAATATTAACCCAGCCTTATGTATTGACTTCATTACTCCTATCGTAGCATTTGGGGCTATAATAGGATGCCTAGACATGTTTGGTGACCGTCATATTTGTTCTAAAAAAATCCAAGAAGAAACAAATTAAAAATGGTGTGGGCTAAATTGATTAAATTGGTTTGGTCCTATATAAAAGATTGTCATAGATTTCTGTCAATGTTCAGCCATCACAATATGGCCTCACTCAAAACCCTACCAGACTGTGTCAACAAAAATAGCCCAAGAGCAAATGTAAGTTACAATCAACACTCAAGACAAGATGTTTGGTACACAGTTTTGTTCCTTTTATTCTACAGAGTGACAAGTTAGTTACAATCCTAAGTACTTGACCTCTACATGTCACCATATATACTCTAGCCTAGCGCTACTGGTACTTACAGGTACACAGATAATTTGTGTGGGCAGGAAGACACAGATACTGCTCTATTCTCCCAGACTCCTGGTTTTCAATTACACAGAATCCAGTAGTTGGCTTTTTCGCCGTCAAGATCTTGGGTTTTAAAGATGACTATAATACAGTTGTTCCAGGGCGCATTTCATTGTGGAAAGGTATTCGTTTGCTGCCAGTGGCAAACAAGCTGGCCAATCTTCAAAGCAAAATCATAGCCTTCAATTTTAAGCAATGGGAGCCACACAAGGCAAGCTTGGAGTTAAACATTGTTGCTATCCAAAAATACCTATGCAGACAGTGGCTTTTCTGTTGACAGAAATATATCCTAGGATATACTTACGACCGTGTCTGGTAATATTGCATTGTCTGCCATGCAAAGCCCTGTACACAGCACAGATATCTCTCCATAAACTTCCAGCCAGTTTGCAAAATTTTGTCCTCTGTAGTTTCTTAAAATACTGTAACAGTTGACCACTTTACCTTTGAGGACAGTCATGACATATACTTGGGACTCACACAGAAACAATGTATTTACAATGTTTTACAGTACCCAAGTTTCCGTCCGGGGAAATAAAAATTACAGAGGAAGCCTTTGTTTATCGTGAAAAAAAAAATTGAGAGAGCGAGCAGTACACTTTTGCAGTTGTACTGACTATCCTGGAAGTCCCATCTACACTGTACAGTTAGTGCATTGAACGCTTCGTACAAAAATGCATTTTTTCTTTGTGGAAGTTATACAGGAAATTTCACATTGCAGCAACATTACACGTTAACAGCCAAAACGCCATACAGATATAGGTCTGTATGGGCAGCACTGTTTTGTCGTATTTACAACTGGGGAGCTGGACCGGCCATCTTTATATAGTTCAACACTAGATGATGATGACATTATCCAAAGTACAGAATCTCCAATTCTATAACACTACAAGTTCATCTACTAACAGCATTCAAGTGCAAATAACTTAGATCTGTTTCACATGAAAACTATACAGCTTGAAATGTTGAAACAAGTTTTTGATTACTAAGCTTTTTTGAGATAAATCTCTAGAAGGGTTGCAGCACATCTTATTGTGTAGGACGATAAATTCAGCTCTACATGTATGTTATGTTGTTCATCCACACAAAGTATGCTTTTAATTGCACCATTTCATGGCAGAAACAAATTTTTCAAAAAAAGTATAAGTGGTGAGCGTACTTTGAACAAAACCATAATTTTCGTGTGAAACAGGCCCAAACACCTCTTTCCTACTTAAATGTGTTTTACCATATTCACTCCAAGAGCCTTTTGCAATGCGAGTGCTAGTTTGCTGTACATTACGTTCTTACCAAACTGAAATGGAATGGCATGTGAAGACGACATGTATACAGCTGCGATAAAGTGATCTTTCAATTGTGTCAATGCTGCTGTAAAATGGATCCACCCCTGAGGCATAACCAAAAAAGTCTTTAGGTGCAAAAGCAAACAGGTTGGTCTGGCAAGACATTAGGCATTTATGATACAGAAATTGTAGAATTGACCATCATAATTTTCCTTTATTTTCCCTCCTCTAGTTTTCACTATTTGAACAAGGCTCTAGCCAGCTCAATTTTTTTTTTCGTCAGCCCAGGTTCATGATTGGAGCTGTAGGGCTTATGCAATCTATGGGGGAAATTTTGGATTTTCAAGCCTTTACAAGTGCAATTTCCCGCATTTCGAGAGGCAAATCTTGTGGTTGTCGGTATGTTTTAACTTTTTAGCTAGATTTTTGTCCATGAAGGTTGACAGACTGGTTTTAAAATTTTTCGTCACAAGCCACAAAGTTCCTTCAATTGATGGAAAAGTCTACTAGGCACTGGCTTGAGCCCTGCATTGCCTAGATGGCCAAATTCATTGTTGGTGTGAGCCTTTGGGCTGAAAGTCATTGGAATGATACAATGTGTTCTAAAACTTGTACAAACCATCTCAAGTAATAAATCAATAACATCTGCACTGGCCATCTGTCATATCTTATCATGTGGAACAATATTATGATGAGAAAGAAAAAAAAATATGGCAGTGGCATACATGTAATGTAAAGAGATATTTCCAGCTTGAATACAGTAAACTATGAACATGACCAAAATATCCCTCCAATATAAGAATAAAAGTTCATCTGTGTTTTAGAAAACAGTTCAGTGGCACAGGTCAAAATAACTGAACTGTACCCCTAGTGGAATAGCCATGGATAATAATACTGTTGTAGTAGTTTGCAGTGCTCTACTGTTGAGATGGAACTTTTTTTCAACACCCCCTGTCCACTGGAGGCTGCAAAATGTGAGCAAATGAACATTTGACAGATTTTAAGAGAATTTTATACATAAGGCCACACCAATTTAATTTAAATTTGTTGTTTCTCGGATTTTTTTTCAGAAAAAATATAAAGCGAGAGGGGGAAAAAAACAGGCCAAGGCACCCCGTGATAGCCAGAAATGTTACAATATGAGCCATGAAGTGAACATACCAGGCTGGTTTATAATTAAAACAATAGATTTTAAACTTTTAATGAAACAAAATTGCATTGTTACTTACACTGAAAAACTTTAACAACTAGGAAGAAAAGGACTTTCTTCAACTGTTGGGGCAAAAAATGTCTTTCATTGAGCATTTTGCAGTTGACTTAGAATTTTTTTTTTCAAATCAGAAAAAAATGGATAGGGCAAATTAAAATAAATCAAAAACATCAAATTAAATTGGTGTGGCCTAAAGGACAAATTTTTTGTCTTGTTATTATAAATAACTTCTAATAATACTTTTATATCGTGCAGTATACATCACACGTGTCATATTTGTTCAAAACCAAGGATAATGCACAAAATAATCCAAACTTGATTGCAGTCTTGCACCAATATCTGTCTAGTGGACAGGGGGGCTAAGGGAATGTGCCTTACATGAACCAATTTGTAGTACTGGCAAGACAGCATTGACAATCATGTATCTGTCACTGAGGTAGCAAGCTGGCATGCCAAATACACACTGTACACAAAATTAAACAACAAAAAACACATATTCAATAAAACTGATTTTACAATGAATCCAGGGCAATGCCGGCACATATTGACAGACTAGTGTTCTTTCCGTTTAGTAACAATGTACGGCCTCTATTTCAGAGTCATTGCCATTGAAACAAAGTCATGGTCTAGGCATATTCTGTGTGTTTTCAGGTGTTCAGAATGATATAAATAAGTGTACAATGTATCAAAATAATAAATGTTCATGAAATTAATAAATACAATAATCATTTGTAAGCTAATTGATTGATTGATTCATAAAAATTGAAATTCTCCCTCCAACGTGCAACAACTATAATATTAATGTTGAACACAATGCATTTAAAATAGAGAGAAACAAGAACAACAGATGTTCGTATCAAAATCTTCAATGTAACTATCTTGAATCTGTAAATTCTGCTTGTCTTTGCTATGACCCTGATATTCACTCTGGCAACGCAACTTTACAAAAGCCAATTCTTCAGAACTCCTGTACGGTTGGTATTTAAAGGCTTACAGAGCTGCAGCTTTTGGTAAATCATTGCAATGCCAGCATGTGGACAGCAAGGTTTGGTTTTGCTCTTTCTGTTACAGCTGCAACGAAACGTGATATTCTACAGAAGGGAGGCATCAGCAGCTTTTCCATTAGCTGACTAGTTTGACCATCCTACTGACCAGATGTCTTGTTAGCCCTTGAAAGTCCTTTTCAAGTTGGAACCGAAGGGCAACGTTACAGTAGTGCTCGCGTGGCGTTTTTTTTTCTCTCCTCCTTGACTGGTGTAACAGTGAACGCAACCTGCCTCTTGGGTTGAATAATTTTTTTTTAATTTTCAACTTTGAAATTGATCCTAACTAGGCTACCCGGGGTAATCCGACTTTCCTACCTACAGGGATTTAAACTACGTCCCGATATCGTTCTGGAATATGAGCTTGATAAAGCCTTGCTCTCCTGTGAGTTGTGTTGCACAGAAGGGGCAGGCTGCGTGGAATGCATGGACTCCGTGAGGCAGCGGTACTTGCGCCCAGTAGCGGGCCGTCTGCTCCGAGCACACGTGCCCGCAGGGACAGAACGCGTGGGTGGGCGGACCACAGTCCACATAGAACGCCGGCTCGTTCCCCATGTACAGGGGGACGTAGGGCCCCACGGTGCGACACATGGGACACTCCCGGTCCCCGTTCTCGTTCTCCTTCTGTCCCCATAAGTGATGGCCGTGAACGTGTCCGCAGTTCAGATAGACATACGGCTGTCTCTCCTTCTCCTCCTGAAAATAAGACAACTTTTTATGTTCAAGTCTATATTACTGTTCCTTTTAACCTTCACCTACCAGGAAACCCAAATGTGACCTTGATCTTCCTACTTCCAGTACATTGTATGTATAGTACCAATATATCAAATATCATCACAATCCATAAAGATCTCAGGTTATGCTGACCACAAATATACACAAACACAGACATGTACACACACATGCGTGCACAGACACAGACCAAAAACAATACCCTTATATATATAAATATATTTTTAATGCAAGTAATTTTTTGTTTTTTTGTCACCCTGTCACTATCTTCATTTTTTTCTGAAAGAATCTGAGTACCAACAAATTAAATTGGCATGGCCTATAATAAGATTCTAGATAAGATAAGAAAGTGTTGTCAGACTTACAGTCACCTTGGTGGCCCTACTACGTGTGGGGAAGGCCAGGGTGTTGAGGCCGACAGGACACTGGGGTCTGGCTGCATTTATCTCTTTCCGTAGCTCTTCAATATGTTTATGGGTCTGGAATGACACAATATAGTACAAATTATTAATAGTACAAAAATAGTACACATTATTATATCACACAGTTGTCATCATGGGGCTAGCTAATGTTATCATTGATAATCATGTATTCAGTGTAAATGTAGGACCCTCTTCATGTAGCAGTTAAGTTTTGTTTTGAAGCGCCACCTTACAGAAAGTGTGCAAACTCCAGGACTACCAACTGTTCACATTACAAATGTATCTGAATGAACATTATATTAATAAGTGTAATAAACTGTTTAACATGTGACATAATGTATTTGAGAACAAGAGGAACATCAACTGTTTAACTGTAACAGTTCAATCACCAATCAATAAAAAAAATCCTTTAGAATAATAATTCCATAGGGGGGAATGTACATTTTTGTATTTTGATGACATCATCTGGGAACCCTAAAACTGATGAACATGTGAGCATGTGAATATAAAAAAGGTTTGGCAAAAAAAAGGTTTCCTTCATTATGAAATCAACTTGGTCATGAAGATGAAATGATGACTTAACACACAGAGTATGGTATGGGGAATAATAGACTCATCATTACCTTCGCCAAGAAGGTTATGTTTTCAGTAGCGTTTGTCTGTCTGTTTGTCTGTCTGTCTGTGAACAGCATAACTCAAGAAGCTTACTATGGATTGTCATGAAACTTGGTATGTGGGTAGGTCTTAATGAGACCTAGAAATGATTAGATTTTGGGGCCCCTGGCGGCTTTTCTTGGTACTGCAGCAGAACTTCCGGTTTTGATATCTCGCGATCTAGACATGCTAGGGTCACGAATTTTGGTTGGTAGATAGCTCTTGGGGTAGGGAAGATGTGACCTGAGTTTAGACCCCCTAGCAGCTTGTTCTGGAACTGCAGGAACGTTTCTTGAAAAATCTCCGAAGGTTGATAACTCAATAACCGGTTGACGGATTGTCATGATTTTTGGTATGTAGGTAGCTGAAGTGATGCTTGACATAATCAGATGACAATTATGCAAATCAGGAGCTAATTTGCATAATTAATGAAGAAGTTCTATAAATCTGATTCGTTCGATAAAAGGACTATGAAACACTTGTGACATGTAATTGAGAATTAGAAAAACATCTGAGGATATAGATTATGTAAATGAAGACCTAATTTGCATAATTAATGGGAAAGTGTTATAATTTCATAGTTGTAATTGCTGGGAATTTCATACTTGCCGCATTTGGAAGTTAAGTGAAGGTGAACATCAATGAAGATAATTTATTCACATGATGACCTTATTTGCATAATTTATGAGGAAGTGCTAGAATAGCTTATTTTATTAAGATAAGGCTGCCATTGGGTGGAGAATATGATCAACTGATATAATCCATGCAAATGACGCTCTTATTTGCGAAATCAATTATTAAAATTGTATAATTCGTTAACCGCAAGGGTTAACATCATTTGGCGAAGGTATGAGATCGTGGAACTCTTGTTTTCATTTCTTCACATTTTCTTCTTTTTCTTTGGAATAGTGGCTTTGTTATTCTATGACTATGACATCAGTGTAATTTACAACAATATTATATTTGCTCATATTGCAGTGTACAATGTATCACAGTGGAAAATTGTTGGGGGAAACCAAAATTTATGTGGGCATTGATGACATCCATGGAGTCAAATAAACATGGCCTAAATTTCATCTACCCTCTTATGAAAGCCAGTCCAACAACTATGATCATGATGATAGTAATGATCAACACAACTCTCCCTCAGGCCACACCAATTTAATTTGTTGGTTAACGGAATCGCCCACTTCTTTTTTTTCTGATTTGCAAATAAAACTAAAAATTCAGAATCAAGACTGTGCAAAATACTCTTTTGCCCTGAACAGTTGAAAACAGTCCTTTTCTTCCTACTTGTTACAAACTGTTATTCCATCTTTCAATGCAATGGTATCATTAAAAGTTCAAAATTCCTTGTTAAAATTTTGAACCAGCCTGGTGTGTTGACTTCATGGCTCCTATCGTACCATTTCGGGCCATAATAGGATGCCTAGGCCTGTTTTTATTTTTATTTTTTTTCGCCCGCCCGCTCCATTATTTTTCTAGAAAAATCCGTTAACCAAGAAATTAAATTGGTGTGGCCTAAGATAAGAAAGAAAATCTCTCAATAAAAATAATTGATTGGTTTGCTTAATTTTTCTCCTGCAATATTGAAAATGTCTCTACAAAATGCAGACTGCAGGTGGGTACATGTAGTGTATTTCTAAACACTGGTGATATGGTGAGCTATAAAAAAGACAGGTACACTGCATTATTTCAATGTCATTCATGTACACGGTATAGGCGTACCTTTATGCACACTGCCTCCGACAGCATATTGCATATTGGCCTTACATTACCTTTTGGTGAAGTGAACCCAAAGCTTAGCAGGCCATCTTGGCTGACGTGACTTGACTGTAAAGCGTGTTCAGTGCCTCAAACAATTTTGCATGTCAACAGTACAAATTTTACATCAGAAGAGCTCTTGCAAGTTAAGTGGTCGTTGTCTGTTTCATCTGTGTTTTAAAATATAAATCTTTCTAATCCATAATGATTTATTTTATTTCACATATTACTCATATTGTTCCCAACATGTCAGTGTTATGTTAGCTGGCAGCACCAGTAAATGTTACCCCAGGGCGACATTTGACATCTTTGTTGAAGATTCCACAGGGCTCGAATTCGAAATACTTTTTTCTGCATACCTGCACTCAGAAATACATATACCTGACTGTACAGCTCCAATTTTACCTGCACTAACTTGCTTATACCCAGTACATGGACCAGTGCAGGTTAGGTGCAGGTAGACATCAGAAATACCTGCACAGCTCCAATTTTACCTGCAGTAACCTGCATATACATTTGTACCCAGTACATGGACCAGTGCAAGTTAGGTACAGGTAGACATCAGAAATACCTGCACAGCCCTAATTTTACATGGACTAACCTGCATATACCCAGTACATGGACCAGTGCAGGTTAGGTGCAGGTAGACATCAGAAATACCTGCACAGCTCCAATTTTACCTGCACTAACCTGCATACTCAGTACATGGACCAGTGTAAGCAGACATCAGAAATACCGGCACAGCTCCAATTTTACCTGCACTAACCTGCATATACCCAGTATTTCGAGCATACTGTGTAATGAAACAGTTTTTAGCAGGCTACTGTAACATCCTCAAAACAGATAATGGAAATTATTCACAGCGCTGCACAATTTATCCTCTCCACTGTTTGAGAGAGACAGAAAAGCCGCTCAAGGGCCGTGCATCAAGTCTGAAACACAAGTTCACTCCAGGACAAGGTACGGTAGAATTACTAGAACTGCTGATGGCAAATCTGATAGCGGCTCGGAGACCAGCCCAAGTAGCTCTGTTGAATACTGCAGATCCATTACATCCATCAACTTCAACTTCTACCTGCACTGAGCATTCCAAAGGAATTTGAACCACAATCCTCCAATAAAAGATGGCCTCATCCTTAAAGATACTTTTTAATACCTTAAGTATGATTCTGATGTAATGCTGATAGTACTTAGAAACATACAGTACCGTTCGCGTTATAGTTAACCGGGTACCCCGTTACTAACGAGTTAGATTTTCGTCAGAAAATGGTTAGAAAATCGTCAGTATTTGGTTAGATTTTCGTCAGAAAATGGTTAGAAAATCGTCAGAAATTATTTCTAACGCGTTACCGTTTGCGTTAATGTGATAGGGTCGGATTTCATGTTTGTTTTGCGCGCCGACAAGACAATAGCAATTTGCCACCTCCTGGGGCGTCCGCTAATGTGTTGCGATGTTGCCCCTTGAAAAATAACAGCACCAGAGGCAAGTGGACATGTGATTCGAAAAATAACTTTGTGGTTTATCCGTGTGTCGACTGTGTGAAGCGAATTGTTCTATCTTTTAATGCTATTCTATAGTTATTTCTAGCGGAAAATATTACGTTGTGTAATACAATGTCAATGTATGTCAACAAAGTGTAGCAGTGGGCAGACGATGTCTTGTACATTTTGTACCAGCGGCGGCCTACCGCTCTCACAGGACGTCATGGGACGTGACGAAACAAGAAATATCTGCCGTAGAAGAAATATAAATCGGTAACTCATGCCTTAAATTCACGGCGGTTTTTGACACAAAAGAAAATTATTATAATTTTGTAAGGCGCGCGGCTTACTAGTAGTAGCGGTTAAATGTACCGTCACTCCCGGCGCAAGGACTCGGTTCGCCAGCTGAGGACTTTCCACAACCATGATGATATCATAGTTAATAAAGGAATATATAATAGATCTATCATGTTGAAATGATAATTGTAATACATGGTTCTATTTAATAGCGGTAGTTTTGTTTCTTATTTTGAAGGGGGAAACTGTCGAGGGGTAAAATCGAGGGAACGCAAACTGAGATCGGCTCACTTCCGGGTGTATAACGCCAAAATTTCTCGACGATTGTATAAAAATGACCACTCATTTGTCGCCTACGGTAGCGTGTACATGGTAGTGCTATCATATCGTGCCAAAGTCAGCGTCAAACGTCAGAAAATCCCCGTAAAAATATAGTTGCAAAACACATTTCCCGCGCACTCACGGCCGGTCGCCATGGCCGCGGCCGCCCTGTGATGCAGGCAGCATGCTCATTATAATATGCAAGTAGCTACGCTCTGATTGGTTCACCTTAGATGACCTGCGCTCTGATTGGCTAGAACGAAGCCCGTTGCATGCTGGGGCGCCCTTCCACGCGCGAAGTGCGATCTCGAGATAGCCACATTTACGCTGGTTTCTACCTTATTTCTACGACTAATTAGCAACATCCTAGTAACGAAATGCGTACTCAAAAGATTTTTCGGGAAAAAAATATATGTACATGTGGATTTGTGGTGCCTTTGGCGTAATTTTGTTGGTCACATACAACGTAATGTAACACGGAAGTGCACGGAGTCGGAGTCGCAGCACGGCTTTCCGTCCCACTCTAAACAAAACTCCAAGGACAAAACAAAACTCCCCAAAACTGGCCAATAATTAGCCATAAAAATGTTTGTGGGCACGTGTATTAAATATGCGCGCTAAATATGCTGCCTTTTTTTCGAGTGTAATAGGAATTTTCCGCGATGTTTTTGCACATCCCTAACGTTACCTCACGCCCGCCGCCTATTATGTACGGCGGACAAGGACCTTTATAACTTCAGATCATCTCTAAGGATTGCATATTCGGTGGTAAAAGAAGTAAACAAACAGAGAAAAACAGCAAAATAAAGTTGACAAACTATGGAAACGCTTGCCTGGGCAACAGTGACAAAAGAAAATGTCGATCTAATTGATGCGCCGGTGATCGTTAAAACGTTTTAAACGTTATAATATACTAGTAGTAAAATGCAGGCTAGATCAACGTTCCTTCCGCTGTTCCAGCGGTGTGTATCGGTAATTTCCCGCCCCGCATGAGGTAAATTAGTACTCCTCCCACGATTCCTGTGATGTTACCGCGCCTGCATATGAATGGAGAAGTCTGACGAAAAAGAAACGCGTTACTTTCGGAAAAGTAACGGAAAACTTACGGAAAACTTACGGACAACTTACGGAAAACTTACGGAAAAGAAACGCGTTAGTAACGGCCGTTAGGGTAACTATAACGCGAACGGTACTGTAGTCTATATTTGCATTGTCCTTATCTTGTCTAACTTTCGTTTCCTTATGGACTTCCAAAAAATTTGTCTTCACTTAATATTTGCATATCAATCAATAGTTTGTGCTTATAAACCTGCATGAATGAATGAATGAATGAATGAATGAATGATACTTTATTTCCTGCAATTCTCCTGTAGTCTCTAGTTCACTGACGAAAGGTAGTGGAAACCTGAAACGTCTGACCGTTTCCAAAATCATATTTTTTTGGCGTATCTTATTACCTGGATGTCTAACCTTTATCCAAAAGCTTACCCTCCGGAATAAAGTATCCCCTCCTCCTCCCCTCCAAAAAAGGTTCTCAACAAAAAGAAAACACCCCTACACTAACTAAAAAACATTAAAAAAACAATGTAGGGAGTTAAATCACAGCATAGGGGGTCTAGATCACGGCGTAGGGGACCCCTACCCTCAAACAGCCTAGTGAGAACCCTGTGATGTCATTTTTTTCCTCAACATCAGGATGGCAGCAGTGCACATGTGCATTGCTTGAATTCTATGGTTGAACCGTTCTGTACCAGTCATGTGAACAAATGGTTAGCAGATACAGTGTACCCAGTGTTCTAGCCAGAATTTCTCTTTCTGCCATTTGATGGAATTTTCTGCTCATGATGGACAAAAATTTTGCCCGCCATTCTGAAATTAATGGATAAATCGGCATGTTTCATTTAGATATTGTAAAATTTGCCTCTCAAAATGCAGAAAATAGCGTCTCAGAGGGTAAAATGTTTTCTGGGGATGCCCTCAGACCCCCCCTAGGATTGTCCTGTCTTCGGTACTCGTGTAATGTAAATTAATGATGTTTCGTTTTACAAATGTGAGATGGCAGAAAAAGAATTCAGGCTGGCTAGAACACTGGTTGTACATTGTACCCTAACACACGTCTTTAGTTTAGGGCTCAAAATTAAAGATGGCCCAGTGGCGACTGAGCACTTTAGGCTGGGACAACTAAAAAGACACTTTGGGAAATTTTTGGGACAATAAAAAAATAATCAACATCAGAATGTCAGCCCTCCTTGTTGATCAGGCACATCTCCCGGCTTTTGGATTTGGAATAGTCCCCCAAATTTCCTGTCTACCCTGCAATTATAGTGCCCCTGGAAGTGAACACATAAGCAAAACAAAGTTGACTTCAAGTTGAAGTCATACAATACTTCCTCATACAATATGTCCCAGGTTAGGACAGTTCATCCTCACTTCGGGACAACTGGAATTTATTTTTGGGAGAGTGCTGGGACAATAGGAAGAAAAGTTAATTTCGAGGCCTGGTCTTACCGGAGTTTTCTGCAGTCCAGCGGAGGATCGCCAGAGAAGCGTCGCCCCGCACAAGTCGATCAGCGTGCCGTCGTGTAGAACGTTGGACTCGTCGTCGATCAGCTTGCCTCTCTGTGGGTTGGGCCGCGTCTCTCGGAGCGAGTAGATCCCGCCGCACACAGACACCTCCCTCCACACCCCGGCTTTACACTCCTGGCCAAACCCCCCCGTGGGGTGCATGATCAGCACTCCGTTGGTCGTCAGACCGTCCATGGAGCTGTCCGGTCTCTTCCATTTAGTCGCTCTTTCCTGAGTGGGGAACAAAAAAGTCTCATGAGTATGTGTACACATTGTCCTTTGATTCTTTAAACCTCAATCCTCTAATTCTTTGACTGAGGGTTCATGCTGATTGGTTCTCATAATTTATAAGAATACAAAGACAGTATATACTACTAACACACAAAAGTCATGATGCACCTGCACAAAACCAGAATTTTTCATGGATTTCATTGGATGTTTGGTCAACTACGCATTAGAATTTTGCCCGTTGCAGGCAATATCTTATCCGACACAACACTCTTGAAAACTACAGATGAAATGTTAACCTTATATGCACAAATACAAAACTTATATGAACCTTATAAGTGCATTACAGGTTTCGCGCAGGTGCAGTACATTTTGCCGACATGCTCTAAGACTTCCAGTAGACTTACCCCAAGGAAGATGTTGTTAGAGGAATCGAAGCCTGCTGCGTAGATTCTTGCTGTATGTGTTGGGTTTCTCTCGACCACGATGCGACATGCGAATCTAGAAATGGTGCTCTGTTGCACTTTACAGTCCTCGGCAGTCTTGTTGCCCGGCACAGTATCTATCACTACAAAGTCTATAGGTGGCTCCGTTGATCGACCAATCTGAGGAGGTAACACAAAACAGCTAAGGTCAGTAACGTTTTCCACTAGGGCTGACTACCAAAACATAACATGGTACAGGTAAAGGTTCAGGGATTTTAGATTCAGATTCAGATTGGCTTTATTGATGTCGCAGTGGAGTACACTGAATTTAGGTCCAGGTCCAGATCAAGATGAAACACAAAATTATAACAATAACAATGGTAACTTGCCAACTAAAAAACATGAACATCCATTTAAAGATTCTCGAGTTATCTTGTACACAAGAAAAAACACAAAAAACAAAGGTCACCTGAAGTGACATAGAAACCCCCACGGGGCCCATCTTTGAACTTGACCTCGGCATTCTCAACGGTAACTTGCCCACTAAAAATCATCAACATCCATTTAAGGATACTCGAGATATCTTGATGACAAGGAAAAAACACCAAAAACCAAGGTAAACTACAGTGACGTAGGAACACCCCACGAAGCCCATTTTTGGCCTTGACAATGGCCACCCCCAAGACAACCTGCCTGCCAAAAATCGTGAACCACGGACCATGCCTTCAAACTTTACCGTGCATAATCTACAAAACAGGCCGAAAGCAATTTCATAGCCTTCTCGTCGAAGGCAATAATAAATGGTTTATTGCCCAAACATTACCCGTGCAATCATAGCAGCCTTTTAAATTTATAGCACTGAATTGATGCAAGGTTTACAATATGTTTACACCGTATGGACTGTGCCAGGTATTTCTGATGTCTACCAGCACCTACATTTGTACATTGTACCCTGCACTAGTCTAATCACAGTGTTTACATACAAATGTAGGAGTATGTGTATTTTTTTTTTATTAACAGCTGCTGTACTGACTGTCATCACCTCTAAAGTGTAAAAGAAACAATGGCAGTGGTTTCTGAACAGAACTAAGCATGATCCATGATATTTCCTACATTCTGAATGGTAAAATTTGTCTGGTGCAGGTAAAATTTTCAAATTGCACTGGTGCTAGTATGTAGAGATGAGTAATGGACCTACATGTATACCATTATTACGTCACAGTTTGTTTACCTGTTCTTAAAGAACATTCTAGAACGGTCAGTTAAAGAATAAAGATCATTTCAAAGTTTTCAAAGTAAGGTATGTCTGATTTTTTGCTGCGTCTAGTTGTGTTGACACAGCATTACAGGCCGCATGGGTGATTTAATTGTGACATTAGATGAAAGTAGTACTGTATTAAAAGCCTTATATTAGGCTAACGCTACACAAACACACACCGCGCTACGCACCCCTGTACAATATAAACGTCGATTGACCGGCATTCATTGCAGTAAACAAACTGTGACGTAATAATGGTATAGGTCCATTCAAGCCCTGAGAGGCAATATATGAGGGACAGTGGAGCTTACCTGGAACATGTCAGTATCCTCATCCCGTACATACTCCACTACCACTGTCTGGTTCCGGGATAACGTGTAGGACACACTGTGATGGGACTTATCTGCTACAATCTGTAAGTGTTCCAGAGATAGACAATAGAATTATTCTTAGCTTCATAATCTGATAAATGCATTATCTTAGTCACAGGTTTACCATTCCCTTTCAGTGTTAGAAATACATGTACCTGCAGTCTGCAAACAATTTCATATCTGAGGACATTTTTTAAGCAACCTGCAATTTTGCTGACAGAAAAGATCAGGTCAGGGGTTCAATGGTGCATGTATTTTTCAAATTGCATGTAAAATTAAAGTTTGCCGACATGCAATTTTATATAATATGCAAATTATAATATTATGGGTTTATGTCTAAACTGTGCATTTGCAGATAGTATTCCTAAATTGCAAAACAAAATTTTAACACTCTGCAATGCACTAATTAATTTACAGGCTAGAAAAAGGATTTCTGCCTTAATGTAGATAATCATTTTCAGACATGGATATTTTATCAGGCTGGTTTTGAAATTCATTTTTCAAGGCCGACTATAAAATTTGCAATTTGAATTTCTGAAACATCATTTAACACATTTTTAGAAGCAATTTGTTCTTCAGTTGTGTATATCGAGTTAAATATTTGTCCAAATTGGACGTCAGTCCTTGAGACAGTTGATGCAATAGATTAAATTAGTTTAACTTTATCTGTTGGATCATTAAGAAGACCACCAAGAATCTATACAATGCCATGTACATGTAGTTTTTTCAGGACTGAAACTGGAAACCCAACATTAATTTTCCTGACCTAAGACCTAATTGTAATATTTTCAAGAAATGTTTCAATTTTTTTACCAGTAAACAAGAAACAAGGTGCCTACAATTGGAGAATGGAAAGTTTTTTTTTTCTCTTGACACAAGTTTTCTTTCTACTACAATGTACAACAATGGCCTTTGTTTGTGATTGTGTCACTGTACACAGTCACCAACACCATGACCAAACGTCCTGTTGACAGTCCTGTTTACTATCACCAAGCTATAAAACATTCTGATACAGCCATGCTATCCACAATAACAAACATTCACAAAGATAATTCAGCAGATACTACAGCTAATCACCTCAGATACTGCTATCACTACAGTTCCATATATGGTTGTTCTCAGTACCCTGTATGTATTTAGTGTGTGTGTGTTACATGTACATTTTGATGTCTTAAAGCTGCATTATGTAACATTAGGACAATACAAAATGTAAATTTTCTGGGACTTCTATACAATGTATTAATTGAATTAACCCTGCTCTATTGCAAATAGGTGCCATTCAGGAAGTGGAGGTATCAAAATATGACGCCATAATACGAGCTGGAAACACAGTTGTCAGCCATATTTGTTTACATTCTGGTGGTTTGTGGTGGCACCACAAACTGAGTGTGCCTTGTGTGGGCTGTTTTAGCACCAACCATAAATGCCAGAAATCTGAGCTAAGGCCATGTTGATTTGATTATATGGATGACATCCTCTGGGAACCCCAAAACTGATGCGCGCGTGCGAATAAAAAAAAAGTTTTGCAAAAAAAAAGTTGCTTTCACTATGAAATCTACGTGGTCATGAAGGTTGAACAAATGGCACAGAATATGTTATGGCGAATAATCTACTCCTCGAATTCATTTCT